ACACACACACACACATACACACACAAAAAATATACAGAAAGGCGTGTGAGAAAGCCTCAATGCCCTCTCTTTTAACACAGCAGGAGAATTTGATGTTCCCCTCTATTTCTGCTCCGCCTGTCTCTCCCTCTCTCATCACCCTGCAACACCACACACACACACACATACACACACACTTTTTTTAGAGTCATGCAGTAGTTGGTTGCCTGTACAGAGCGCAGCACAGCGTGAGTGAAGCCCCGCTGGTCGGGCCGCTGTTGATCAATCAACACCTTCTAATGGAGGGGGAGATGAAAGAAGGAGAGGAGGATGATGGGAAAAAGAGGAAGGAGAGGGATACAGAGACAGACGGGCGGACGGAAAGGGAACCGGCTGATATGGGACTTAAAGACCGTCAGCAATGAGTCCTGCTGGGTTTGATGAACTTTAAATTGACTGTGTGGGAAGTTTGGGAAAGTTACAGGATGGTCGTTGTGTCAGAAAATCATCGGAAAGCAGCACAGAAAACATATAAAATACAAAGTCTGCCACTGTAATCAGAGATAAATCACAGGAGAACATGTCAGAGGAACTGCAGGCTCTCTGTAGGATCTATTAATTCTTAATAACTGATGTCGGAAAATGTTGCACACTTTAAGGTCTGTTAGCATCACCCACCTCTCTGAAGTTTTTCTCAGACAGGCTTTCTTTTTGCCTTAGGGATGCAACAAATGATTTCCAGTTTAAAACTTTGTTATGTCTCTCCTCCTCTTTCATCATGAGAAATGGGGCACCCCATGAACAGATCTTACATTGGGGCACTCAGCCTCAGCCAATACCAGAAATATTACTCTGACCACACCTTCATTACACAAATGACCCATAAAAAGATTTTAAATAAGGTGGTCAACCTTTTTCATACCACACATTTTAAAATGTCACTTTTGTTTACACGAGATCAGTGCGATGGCAGTGTAACATTACTGAATGTAAGTCCACCTCAAAATTGGGATTTAAGTGTGGCTGTTCGGCACTGGTGGTGAGCAAAAAGATGTCAGGAGGCAGAAGTCAATGCAAAATGAAGTGATTGATTTATTAACCAAAAATAGCACCAAACAAAAATCCCGGGTAACCTAATAAAACAAGATTACGTAAACCAAACGAAACCACAGCCTCACAGCAAGCTGCCACTAACCAAACAACACCCTTTTCCCCCCCCCCAGACTCTGGCTTTATACAAGAAAACCCCAACTGGCCTCACTTTGTCTGATTAAGCTCAGGTGATTTCACTCAGCCTAATCACTCTGCAGGCCAGTGTAGGGAAGGTGGGGGCAGGTGAAAGGTATGGGACAACCTTTTCACAGGCAGACGTAACAGAACGAGTGCTGGTGTTCACGTTTCTAACTGGACTTCATAACATGCTCACAAATACATACACCGGTGCTTTTACTATGTTCACAAGGAGCCTTAATGGACTACTTTGTAAATGAAATGGTCATTGCAGAGGGAAATGTCAAGGAAGTCGTTTTTGTATTGTTCAATCGTAACATGAAGTAGAGATCCAAGCACATTGATTTATATATCTGAGAAATAGAAAGAAATAGCTGAATTAATAAAAACATATTGCGTTGTATTGCCACAAGTTTTTTTTTTTATTATATAGGAATTATCTAGTCAATGTCACGCCCTTCCCAATTGATTAAAATGTTATACACATTCTTAGATGGATGGATTGATTGATTGATAGACGGATGGATGGATTTAGGTTGGTTTCAAAGATGGCAGCAGAGTTTGAATAATTCAGCTCTCCCTCCCTCTCTGCAGGAGGTTCCTCTTTGATGTCTCACTTTGAAGAACGAGTGCATCCCTCTCTCTCTCTCTCTCTTCCTCCTCCGCCTCATCCTCCTCAATCCTTTTCTCCGTGTGTCTCCGCTCATACGTTACTTTCTTTTCTCTCTCAGGTGCGTTTTCCTCCTGTATTTAGTCTATCATGTGCAGATGTGTGAGGGAGTGTGTTTTGTATCTCTCCATCTCCTCGTACATTATCTTTCACATCAGATCAAAGAAACTCCTCTGAGCGATGTAATCCCAGTAACACAGGACTTTTTGCATCATTATAAGTTAATAATTAAGCGTATCTAAATATAGCAGTGGGAGTCATATGTATTAAAGGTAAATAAAAGTGCACAGTCTTATAATTTATTCATGTATCTTCAGCATCATGCAGAACTATACATTAAAGAGTTTAAAGGCTAGAGGGAAGAAAACACCTGGAAAAAATGCTTGCAACGTGCAACATTCATGCAACTGCACACACGCAAAGACTTCTTTACTGAGAGGATTGCCATTATTTGTATGTTCATACCTGGAGTCAATATGGGGCTTTGTATTGTCAATTCAAACTTTGTATCAGTTGCTTAAGGACTCAAGCCTTCATCTAAAAGCAAATAACATCTAGATAAAGCCCGGCGTAATTCTCACACTGCACGCCTTGATCATTTACGACACCCGACCAATGCTCATGATTTATGAGCTCACACTGTACAGTCTGCATCGTTGGGATCATTGTATTTGAGTTTTGTACCTGCAGTTTACACAGGATCTGTATGCCGTGTGTTCAATCTGCGTCGCACACAAAGCTGATCACTTCCTCTCTAGTTAATGCTTCCACTGCACGCCCCACGGACAACAACAAAACAGAAAAACAACATTATAACCCAACAGAAAAGCACCTAAACAACATCAACAAAGCTTGTAACAAATTTCTTCTATTAAGAAGGTTATACAGGTACAACTGCCATCAAGAGCCAGTTAGTCATTACGGACCATGAATGCAACAAATATAGAGCCACAATCAGCTGTGTCAAAGTTGCACTTTGGCCTAAAAGAATAAAAATGTGCACTCCCCCCTATCTGCTGCTAAGGTCATAGTTACTGTACCGTGAGGTTGTCCTTCTCTGTGCTCTAAAGCAAGTTTTAAATGTATCTAAGACGTAGTTATGAGACTTAGAGGATAAAAGTTGTGTTACATGTACAAGCTCCACATGTTCACAGAGAGGACCTCAGCACATTGCTTTCAGCTTTCTCCATCTACTGTATGCTACCTTGTGTCTCATTCAGTGGTATGAAAACACTGAACATTATCCTACTTGGAAATAAACAACCATGGCGTCACTTTTCAGGCCCTTCAGTTCCCTCAGTCGTCTCCATCTCTGAAAAGCTTTTTGAATGTTTCCTCAGGTTTGTCCTCTTGTGGTTTCTAAACACTTTCTCGTCGGAGCCTTCTTTGCATCTGTCATTCATTCTTTTCTCGCCCCTTTTTAGCTGGGCAAGCTGTTACCATGGTAACCGTAGCAGTGGTAATTTGAGCTGGGCTTTCTCTGCCATCCTCCGGTGGTGGTGAAGCGCTTTGTGGTGACCCTCGCTGTGTACCAGCCTGCTTTGGCTGGTACACAGCGAGGGTGGAGTAAGCACAGGGAGGCATTTGATTGGTAGATTCTATCTGGACCTCATGGCAGTGATAGGTCGGAGTTCGTACAGTCTTACAGCAGAGTTGTTTTTCACTGAACATGAATTATTGATTGCTGTTGGTGTGTATAGGATGTTTTAAGGAATATCATTATTATGATATGCTGGATAAAAAATACCAACACTAATTTTAATTCTATAATCTGCACAGTTAACTAAATCCTCCATCAATCACCCATAACTACAACAATGAAAAGCTCCATAAAAACCCTTTTCTAGTGTCTTACCTTTATAATAAAATGTAAATAAGTGAAATTGCCCGAGGCCTTTATTGATTGTTTTGTGTATGTAATCCTCCCTGAGCATCAGGAGCAGTGAGCATCAGCTGTGCATCAACCGGGAAAGCTATAGCCCTGAGCTTTGCCCTGTAGGATAATATGTCAACAAAGATAACGTTACATTTTGTATTTCTAGAAAAATCTGGAAATCTCTGTGGTGGAAATACAACTATCAGGCCAAACAACTGCTACAAGTGTCACTGAAAGATGTCGCCAAAAATGTTTAACTAACGTGACAATTTGCAGTTTGATTAGTGTTTCAAACCGTCCAAACAAATGCAACAACGATCTAAGCTTACTGCCTGGTCTCCCTCACTTTCTCCCATCAATGATTGACTGCTCTGCTGAGCGCCCCCTACAGGCTGGAGCGCTTCTGTTGGGACGGCAGGATTTTCTGCGTTATTTATTTGGACTTTGCATTGTTTTTGTATTTGCAGCATGTTTGCTGTTAATTCAGCTGTTTCATCTTTTTCGGGTGCTTTTTTTTTAATGCAGTTTTTCCTGCGTTGCGTTCATTTTGGTCTTTTGCAAATGTATTCTGAATCTTTCTGAATCTGCGGCATGGTTTTACAGCTGTACGTCGTTTGGGCCACCGTAGTTAAACAGAAAATATATAAATGTAATAAATTCTGAGAGATTTTTAATTGTACCACATTTAGCTAATATCTGACATTCATTAAGCTACATATTATTATAAATAATGTCTATAGCTTTAACGAACATGAAAAAGAAAAAAGCACACTAGGATCCCTTTTATCGTACAAGCTGTGTAATCCTCTGGGATACTTTGCAGAAAGAGAGAAACTGACATGTTTTAATACGTCAGTCACACACACACTTTTTGTCTTTTATGATGAAAGAGAAAAGTGAAGAAACGAACAGCTAAACATTTCATAAACCTCCTGCAGCGCATGCACTGAGAATCAGATCAGATGATCAAGTTGCCTCATTTGTCGTTTGATAATCTTACAGTAAAATTGAACGAGTACAATCTGGACATTCTTTTCAAATGCATTGCATTTAACAAGGAAAAGATCCTCAGTAGCAGACAGTTACTTTTTTATAACTTGATGCAGTTTGGGATCTTGACTCTGTGATAAATCTCCCCTTTGCGCCTCATCATATTATTCTGTAATGTAAAATGACTTGTTTGTTTTTACTTCCTCTCTCTGCTTTTTATTTCTGACTCATCTTTTTTTGTCTTTCCTCCTTCAGGTATTCTGTACAAGGGCAACGGGGAGAACATTTTCGTTTCCCAGCAGCCTCCTGTCATCAGCAGCATCATGGGTAAGCACTATTATCCTATCACTTATCTCCTTGAAACAGTTTGATAAAATGTTGTTAGTGAGCAAATGTTTCTTTTAACACGATTAAACTCAGTGAATGATGGGTAATATTTGTCACAAACAGGGTTTGTTGGGATTTGAGGAAGGTCAGTTTTTTTTAGTTATTTAATATGTTGATTCAAATCTGCAAATGGAAAAAAACAGAATTTTTCTTTTTGCATGTAGAACCATTTCTAGTTTAAATTCTCTTTTATATTAGAAAACCCTTTTAGAGAAGAAAACAGCAAAAACATATTAAAGATCCCATATTATGCCTTTTTGGGGTTCGTATATTTATGTACTACTTTTGTACGTTCACAATAGTTAATGTTGAAAAAAGTGTCTGTTTTCATGTACTGCTCCTCCTTGCTCCCTCTACGCTCTGAGTCTGTCAGCTACGCTCTGCTGAGCCCACACTGTTAGACCCCACGTGGGCCAAGTCTGCTCTGATTGGTCTGCCGATCCGCTCTGTCGTTATTGGTCAGTTGCTCAGCACGCTTCTCGGAAATTTCAACATGAGCTGCAGAGTTTGCCACAATGAGCCAATGGACTTAGATCAGTGATCTCACACTGACAATGACGCTGCACTGACACATTTTTATCAAGGGGGGCTAGAACAGAGCGTTACATGCAGCTAATGCTACAGCTAACAGGAGGAGGTAGGAGAAGCCGCGTTTCCGCAGACTTTAATTTTTGCACATAGATGTGCCTAAACATGCACAGGACACTTGGAAAACACACTAAAGAGCATATAAAACCTGAAAAAGTAATATGGGACCTTTAACACCAAACCTCAAACTAAGAAAGGTCATCTTAAAGTATGAAGAGGCAAACCATGTTATCTCATTATACTGTATATCATATCATTCAAGCAAAGCTTGGCATGGAACACTAGGTTAAACACAGCAGTGATCATCATGTACCTGTTCTTGTGGCCAATGTTAAATAAATGAGACCACTGATGTGCCTCATTCTCTCAAAAACACATCCTCCCAATTTGGCGGTCTGTTTCAACCATAAGATTTACGATCTGTCCCTCTGCTGTGTCATAATCAGCTCTGATCTGCACCAGATCACTCCCGCAGACTCCGACTACATACTAGGACGTCAGACCCTAGATGCCAAACTCAAACTATGTTTAACTACAGCAATACATACTTCAAACAAGCTTGAAAACAACACAACACTGATAACTCTGTTTTGTGCAACGTGCAGAAACCAACAGCTGAAGTCTGTAAAGATGGATTTTAACAACCTCTCTCTTCCAGGAAACGGCCGCCGCCGCAGCATCTCCTGCCCCTCCTGTAACGGGCAGGCGGAGGGCAACAAGCTGTTGGCCCCGCTGGCTCTGGCGTGTGGAGCAGACGGCAGCATCTTTGTGGGAGACTTCAACTACATCCGCAGGATCTTCCCATCTGGGAACGTGACCAGTGTCATGGAGCTGAGGTAAGGAGGGCAGAGGGGGAGGAGGAGGAGGAGGTGGAGGGGTGCTGTCGCTGTGGATCAGGGATTAGATCCTAATCCAGAGAATACAGCTCCTCGTGTCTCAGAGATAAAGGTCTCACTCAGAGAACCAAGGATCTATTTTACAGCAAAGCCTCGACAAAAGCAGCTCAGACTGACAGTAAAACACACACTCAGACTCCAACATTTGTGAAATAAACACCAGAGTTCTTCGGGTTTTAATTAAAACTGAGCATCAGATTTCATCTCTCTATGACTCTGTTTTTCTGGGCATATTTTCCTTTCTGCTCTCCACTCTTGGAGGACTTTGAAGCCGAGCTTGAAAACTTAAAGAGAAGGAAAACATGCACGGCCAGACAGAACACCTTCACAATAATTAACATTGGAGTACTGGCTCTGCAGCCAAAAGGGCTAAGATACACGAGCTGTCTGAATTTAGGATGAAATTTTTGGATTAGTGCTCCGACTTTAGAAACAAGCTGCTGGCAGACTCCTGAGTGCTCATTTGACAAAAACTCACCCGAATCAAAGGGCCGTCTGTAATCTTTTTCTTTCTTACTTGGTTCAAATTCTGATACTTTTCTGCAGCTTCTAACGCTCTCTTTTTTTCAACTGCAATTACATTTTTCTTCTGGTGATCTTCGTAACTTGGGTAACTAATACTACTACTAACTGTTGTTTCTTGTCTGGTTTCTTTCCTTTGCTTGCTCTGTGTTAAAGAAACAAAGATTTCAGACATAGGTAAGACTCACTAACTCTTTTCAACCTTTGACTGCCTTCTCTTTCTCCTGCCCCGGAATAAATTCTGCACATTTCTTTCATCCATCTCCTTTTCTTGTCCATTAAAAACAAATAATATTGCTACTTTAGCAACTGTCTCACCTAAGTTTACCACCTGTTGGAGCCAGTTCTGTCTTTATTTTGTCCTTGTGCAAGACATCAGGTAGCATGAAGTGACGCAAATGCATACAGTTCTGACCCTGAACACATTAATATAGAGATTACTAGAAAAGCGCTATATAAACTCAAGTCATTTACCATTTACCATTTTATGTGTACAGCACAGGTGATTACAGTCAGGTGTCACAGAATACTTAGTTTTGGATATGCTGAGTGAAAATGGTGTTTTTATTTTGTTACTATGACGACACCCCCTCCCCTCTGTGCGCCCTCAAAAGCCACGCCCCTCACTTACATGCAAAAGCGCCATTGGTTAATAAGCGGGCCTCCGGTCATTGCTTGCATTGTGTAGAAACTACGTGGTCTCATTCAGCGGTAAGTTAACTCAGAGTATAAACTCAGTCATTGGTGACACGCTTTGAGTTGGACTAGTTCACACAAGGGGTAGAGAAAGAGCAGGGAGACAGGGAGGGGAGGCTGTGATTGGTTCATCAGATTGATACCTCGTGGCAGACATTGGTCAAAGTTTTTACAGACTTACAACTGCTACAGATGACGGATTTTCTTTGTTCTTTTTTCAGACCACATTAATTATTAATGTCTGTCAGGACCTAAAGACAATTTCAACCTAAATCTTAAAAAGTGTACTTGGAGAAAATTACCGACCCTGCCTTTAAGTAATGCCCTGACTTTCAATGATATCGAGAAGACATTTGAAACAGAATCATTACACGAAAAGAGAAAAACAAAAGTAACTAACAGTTGATAAAGGCAAACTAGTTTCCTTGAAAGTCACTTCCTCAGCTGTCGGAGCTGACGGCTGTGGAGCAAGGAGACATTGAGCTGTTAGCATGCTTATTTAGCACATATGATGCGTTCCAGTGATATAAAGCTGCAGGACGTATCATTCAGGGAAAAAGAATGAGTCAAACAAACAGAAGATGTAAACCCGACAGACGGACTTCACACCAGTGAGCGAATTAGCTGCGAGGAGGAAGCAGTTTCATTAAAACATGGACTCATACATTTATTCATTTTAGCAGTGCAGCTCTCTGCAGGGCAGACAGGCTAAAGAAGAAAACGTTACAAGAATAGTATCCTGAAAAGTCCCTCATTTCCCTTTCTTTTTGTCTCCCTCGATCTCGTTTTCCTCCTCACTCTAATCTTGGCGAGCGTTCACACGAAATCCAGCTGTCTCCTCTGGTGTCAGCTCAGATGAACGACACAGTCATCAATGTAGCAGCAGCCCCCAGCAAGGAGAGACACGGAGGGGTTGGGGGGTGGCCGTAGTTATCGCTCTCTGTTTCAGTGTCCCTCCTCTCTGTCGCTGTCCTTTTCAAATCCATTCAAGGGGATTCATAGTTTATAGAGTCCGAACAGGAAGAGCAACAATAAGAGAAACAAAGACTGTTAGAAAGCAGCCAAAAAGCCTTTACACATGTTGCATTTCAAGGATTCAAGGACGTTTTAAGAGTTAAGAGAATTTAAGTGCATGTGAATGATCCAATTTAGGTACTGAAGTAAAAAAATAAAAAATAAATGCAACTATAAAATGAACTTAAAACTCAGATTACTTCATGAACTCTGTATATAATAAAATAAACAAAAATAAAACTGTAGCACAAGATAAAGTGTGTATATATTATACAGCGTATACAGTATATATATATATATATATATATAGGGCTTTCAATGTTAGTGCATAAATGCAAATTATTAACCTTTGAGACTTTCTTTTAAATGCATTTTAATCATTTGACTTTCCTGCTCCATATGCAAACTAAAACACAAAGCTTAATTAACCTAAATAAATCTTACTAAATGTACAGAGCATGTTGTCCAGGGTTGAGTCAGACCTGTGGCTCCTTTCTCACATGTTGTTTCCCTCTCTCTCTCTCTCTCCTGTCCTATTTGAAGAAAGGCATAAAAAGCCCAAAATTGATCTTTAAAAATGAAACATAAAATCATGATTAGGTATTGTGATCAAGATATCAGAATTCATCATGTGTTGTTGGGTGAAAAATCTTAAATCCAGAGAACATAACCCAAGTCAAGGATGTCGGCTCAAATGAACTACAGGCTGCTCTGCTGAAATCTCTCTCTGCTGACTCTAAAAGAAGATAAACAGTGTCCTCAGACTCCTCGTAGTGCAGCTCCTTTTCCTTCAGGAGGTCTTTGATTCGATCAATAAACCACAAATCACTGCAAGTCAATATACCACCTATATTGACAAGTCTTCATACAGTAAGCACTGTCCACCTCCACCAGGAGAGATTTACACACAGATTGTTGTTTACTCCAGACCACACAAAACTCATTAATCTGCCAGACAGCGGCCTGCCCACATGCTGACCCATAATCTAAAAATATTATTGGCTACCTGTCCAGTCAGAGGCAAGGCTTATGTTCAAAACACATTTTCAGAGTTTGTTACAACCTTCAGTGTTGACAAATGAAGCCCAAAACTGCAGTTCACTGAATGTCCACTAGAGGCTGCTGCCAAAAGCAACTAATCCCCTTTTATCTCATATTAAAATGTCCAACTTTACAGCAGAAATAAACGTGTTTAAAATCAGGTACACAAAATATTTTTGGTCTTTATCGTTCTTATCTTTATTGGTACACACTGTACATGAGTGATTTTTTATTGAACCCCGTTTTGATTTTATTACTTTTAAGTGTATGCATACATCAAACGTGGCCTGTACTGTAGTCTCAGAGGCGTCATCCATTGGTTTATGAAGACGTGTTATGAAGTTGAACAATTGCTGACAATGCTGACTACTTATAGATCAGTCCACAAAGAGGTGACAAACAGCTACAATGCAGCACCTAATTATGTGAGTGTTTGCATAAGTTAAAGGCTTAATAAAATCAAAGCATGTGTGTCGTTTATTTCTGCTGCAAAAACAGACATTTTAATATGCAACCTAATGGGGATTGATTCACTTTTGGAATCTGCCTCTATGGGCCACTCATGGAACTTTTTTAATTATTTATGTGGTGCTGATATAAGAAAAATAGCAACAAAAAATTCAACTGAATGAGATTTCTATGTCAGGTACAGCTCTATTCAAAGGGTCTTTCACAAATGGCATATTCTGACGTTGAATTTCAAGGTCTCGTTCTTTGTTCACAAATATCTGAACTTTTGGAGTCATTTAGATAAACCTGAAGTTTTCTTTGGAAAAAAAAGCATTGCATCCACCTCCAGACTAACTGTGATTCAGCTTCATTTCTATTCTCTTCCCTCCTCTTCTATTTCTTTACCCTCTTCCTCCACACATGGAGCAGCGCACACCTGCAGCTTCTCTGCTGTCGGCAGTATCACCATGATTGGATTCAATTCCTCAACTCTTGTTGTTTTCAATTAAACTATTTTTTTTAATTAAAGCACTTTTTTTCTCAGTAGCTACCTCTCTCAATCCATTCCGTCATGTTTGCTAATTCCCACAGTTTTCACTCCTTTTCATTATTTAATCATCCTCCTTTCTTTTGAACTGCATCCTTTATTTTCTCTCCACTTACAGCCACGGCCCCCTCCATGTTCTCTTTTTTCTTCTTCATTTATTTTCTTCCCTTTATATCTTTTTTTATTCATCCTTCATCACTTCTTCTCCTTTATCGTTTCTTTTGTCTTTCTTTTGTCTTTCTCTGCCACCCTTGTTTCCTCCTCCTCCCTGTTCAGTCACATCTTTTAATGTGTCCTGGCATGTTTAGATGATCAAGTGCCATCCATGTCAAGTTCATCCTCAGGCTGTGGACGTGTGTGTTTGTATTCAACTACACACACACACGAGCACACACAAAGTGAGGCGTGTCTAAAATAGACTTTGGCATCAAAAACATCCTTTCTTTGCTCTCATGGGACCGTTAAAGAGAACCTCATTAAATGTTTAAAATCTGAGGATGTGAGGGAGAAACGCAGAGGCTGAATTTTCAAGAAGTCACTGTGTTTAATTAACTAAATGAGTCTCACAGACAGGTGGAATACAGACACACGATTTTCACACTTCTCTCTGACAGAAGAGAGAGAATTAATTAGGTTCTTCCTCCTCACAGAGATGTGATTTTGCACTTTTATTTTTCACTGATGCATAGTTCTCATACTAAGAGGCTGGAAGTAACAAAATAGACTACAGCTTTCAGAAATCTGTTCTTTACTTGGGTATTTATTTTTCTGACAGCTTGATACTTTGTACTTTCTATTCCTTACATTTCTAAACATGCTCATTGCATTAGCCAAAAAGCCTTTGTGGTTAACTGTTTTGTTTTGCATTCTTGCACGTTGTCGTAACATTCTTCATAAATAATTGAACCTTTACACAAAGAAAATATGTTTTCTTTTTGTTTCTAGTAGTGCATAATTCAACCCTTTCTCCCTGGACATGATGTTTGCGAATTACAAAAGTGTGTTCCTTTTTGCGCTGTTGAGATAACTTAATGAATGAAATCTGACATTGCTGTTCAGTGTTGAAGCATCAGGAGGCAGGATGGGTTGAATTTCAGGAAAACTGTTGAATGTATAAAAAGATGGATGACACGTCTACACCTCCTCCTGTTGTCTAAGAGTGAAGCTAAAATACTTCCTCAACGGCAGCTGACATATTGCACATTTGGAGAAGGCACAGTAGGGATCAGCTGATGTAGCGGTTGTATGTCCCACCCCCGTCCTCTAACCTTCTAACGTTCCCGCCCATAACGTTTTGATAAATAGATCAAAGGTCCCTCATGCGGGTACAGCCCCTCAGCAGAACAGATTCTTGTGTTTGGAACAGACACTCACTATTACGGAGTTCAATGACTCTTCTGTTTGTGTTCAATACGTTTCCTCTCACTTCCTCCTCTACTCTGATAATGAGGTGTAAACAGCGCTGCTGGAGCTTAATTTGTCAACAGAGCTGTCAGGGCATTACATCTGCTCTTTTTCTCATCCAATTAAAAGAAAACTAAAACGCTCTGAAAAAAAAATGAACCTATGCATGATAAGATCAAACTATAATGACAGAACCGATGTTTGAGATGTATTTGATGTGTGAATTTGAAATGATAGTCTGGCCCATGTCCCATCTGCTAACATGGAGGAGGCGGAGCTTATGACCACAATCAGCAGGGGGAACTCTAAATGATTTTGCTTCAGTGGTTCTGCCGTCCTTCTTGAACAAAATGCTGTTTTATACGTTTTATGTAAATGTAGTTTTAACAAGACAGGGTTTATGTATCAACTAACTCACAGAAAACGAGGCAAAAGCCATCAAGATGAAACAAGATTTGTTTATTATTTCCACTCTTTTGGTCTTTGATTTGAAGTAGAAATGATTTAGTTTGATGATCTGCAACTATGACGTGAGCTTCAGTAAGCTTTGCTGCAAACAGCTGCTAGAAACGTCCTTCAGAGACAGGACTATTTTTACCTTGACACTGTGAGGACATGTCAGAGCCGCCGCTGGAACATCTTTACTGAAGGAAGCAAGTTTAATCAGTACCTCTACTTACAAGTATCTGTCCTTCTTCCTCAGTGCTGTATCTGTGTAATCATGTGAGGGATTTGAACACTCTGAAAAAAAACTTGAATGAAAGCAGAGACAACAAAGTCAGTCTATTTAAAGCTTTCTCATTTGTTAACCTGTGATCTTCTGAAGATCATGAACCCGGAGACTCGTAGCCAGAGGCCGAACCAGACGATGCATCCGTGTGCGATGCTGATAGCTTGCTTTGCGTGTGTGCGTGGTGGACTTTTACATGACAGTGTGGTAGACATCATTAACAGTGTGTCAAAGGAGTTGACGGCGCCCACACAGTTCTGTGTTCGGAGTGACATGCATGCAGACTTTTTAACATGTATCACACCTGAACTGAAATCTAGAGAAGAGGAGAGCGAAAACACAGAAATAGACTCTCACACACTCTGTATCTCACACTCAGGTACTCCTCTGGCAGTAAATTAACACCACTCTCTCAACTATCACCTCATCAACCTTCCTTTTGTTCATTACTTCTTCATTATCATCAGCTCTTCTCTATTTCACTTTCATAATAACACTTGAAGCAGATTGTAAATCTGTTCTGTTGATGATTATTTCAATGGACGATTTTGAGTCGTTTTAATAAGACCGCTAAAGGCAGTTTGTGTCATTAAAGAGAAACTCAGGTTAACCTGGACCTTATTTTCACATAATGTGGGGTCTTAATGGCTAAATATTTAGCAGCTCCAGTAGATTGCTTCAACCAGCAGCTGTGATACGAGCTGTAACGGCTGTTTGTTAATCCTAAATCAAAAGACTAAAACTTCTTAGCTCAGATAGTAACTTAGATTGAGTTCACAAAGTAACCAGACTCCTGACAAAAACAGGATTTTTACTCACACAACACAAGAGTTGCTGCCTCAATAAGTTAGGTTTTTATGTGATACAAAATAGTTGTTTTGGACGTGAACCATCCTTATAACACTCAAACAAAAAAAACGCAGATATTCAGAAGTAGCATTAGCTTACACCTCCTGTGTCCTAATGATTCATTTGTTCTGCAAGGTAAAATTACTGTTTTTGTGAATGGAGTCTGGTTACGTTGAAGAAATCAATCTAACAATCTGTATTTCCCCGAAGGATTACATTTCAGCTATTAAAGCCTTTTTTTTACAGCTGCCAAATAACATGATATTTATTTGAGAAATTCTTAAACTTTAAGTGATTCAGTCCTTAAAACATAAGTTTACATGCCATGTTCTTTAAAGCCAAACTTTGGCCGGCGGTGAACTTGCACCAACATGTACGTGATTGAGTCTGTGCTAAAGCTGTGTGTTCCTCTTTACATGTTAATTTCAGCAATCATTTATATGCATGACATCAAAACAGGTTTTTCCCCTCTTCATTTCACAGCAACAATCCTGCTCATCGTTACTACCTTGCCACTGACCCCGTGACCGGACAGCTTTATGTATCCGACACAAATTCACGCCGAATCTACCGACCCAAGATGCTCAGCGGTGCCAAAGACCTCATCAGTAAGCAAACACTGCTTCTCCTCGGTAACCCTGCATGTTGTGAAGGATGAACAATCAGCACTTTCTTTATTTGTTCATTTTTGTGCCCTTAAATCAATAAATCCATGATCTTTGTGTTTGTCCAGGTAATGGTGAAGTGGTGGCCGGTACAGGTGAACAGTGTCCTCCGTTTGATGAAGCTCGATGTGGAGATGGAAGAAAAGCTACAGAGGCACAGCTGCTAGGACCGAAAGGTGCATACAACACAAACAAACGCACTAGTATCTGTATTATTCAGGTCTGTTTCATAACAGCAGTCACCAAGGAGGATTGTCAAAACTAAGAGTGGACACGCACAAAATTTGACCTCACACCAACTCAAACCTCGGCCTGTACTTGTCGTGTTTAATGGTGAGAAACTGGTCCTAACCGGCCCACACACACATACATTTGGTCCAAAAAGAAAGAGGAGTGAATGCATTTCATCAGCTTCTCTTTCTTGAAAAGTCATCCTTCTTGTGTTGGTAAGGCCTCAGAGCTGTGCTCAAGTGTCACAAGGAAGTGCACAAACTGAAAAGTGCAGAAATATTTCTATAAGATCAGTTCTTACAACTGATTTTGCCCGTTGTGTTTCTGCTTTAACCAACAAACTGCACTGACTCAACACATCTAATCACGCAGATTGTTGAGCACGTTGTGCAGATAGCAGAAATGTTATTATTCAAGACTCAGCTGACATTTTTTGTTATAATAGCTGGTGCAAAAGTTTCCATAAAACATGTGGTTAAAAGGTAAGGGCTAATGCCCAGCAGGCCTGTTCTTGCCTCCACATTAACAATCTGAAAATGAATGATAGCTCACAGGGCATTATACCGTGGTCACTTGATTAAGATACAAAAAGTAGACCATTAAGTTATAATTTCCTTTGTTTGCAATCTTAAAATTTTAACAAGCTTGGAGTTTCTTTAAATAGCCTAAGAGTCTGACTGTGGTACAGCCTACAGCAGGGAGCCTAATGGTTGGCCATGTTTACTGTGGTACAGCCTACAGCAGGGAGCCTAATGGTCGGCCATGTTTACTGCGGTACAGCCTGAAGCAGGGAGCTGAATGGTCGGCCATGTTTACTGTGGTACAGCCTACAGCAGGGAGCTGAATGGTCGGCCATGTTTACTGTGGTACAGCCTACAGCAGGGAGCCTAATGGTCGGCCATGTTTACTGCGGTACAGCCTGAAGCAGGGAGCTGAATGGTCGGCCATGTTTACTGCGGTACAGCCTGAAGCAGAGAGCTGAATGGTCGGCCATGTTTACTGCGGTACAGCCTGAAGCAGAGAGCCGAATGGTCGGCCATGTTTACTGCGGTACAGCCTGAAGCAGAGAGCCGAATGGTCGGCCATGTTTACTGTTGTACTGCCTGAAGCAGGGAGCTGAATGGTCGGCCATGTTTACTGCGGTACAGCCTGAAGCAGAGAGCCGAATGGTCGGCCATGTTTACTGCGGTACAGCCTGAAGCAGAGAGCCGAATGGTCGGCCATGTTTACTGCGGTACAGCCTGAAGCAGGGAGCTGAATGGTCGGCCATGTTTACTGTTGTACTGCCTGACGCAGAGGGCTGAACGGTCGGCCATGTTTAATGTGGTCAGCCCTAAGCAAAGAGCTGAATGGTCGTCAATGTTTACTGCGGTACAGTCTGAAGCAGAGGGCTGAATTTTTCGGCCATTTTTATTGCGGAGAGAATGTTGTGCATATTGCAGCACATCTTTTGTGGTGTGAGCAACAGGACTCATTGGTGTACCTAAAGGAAACAACAGGCCATCATAAAGACCTTAAATAAGCTCGGACAGAGACGACACAATTTGTCACCGTGTTAAGAAAATGTTAAAAAACAGAAAGTGACGTGGAACCACAGGGACACTGAAGCTCTGCTGGGACGTCTGTCTGCAGAGGGTTAGTGCAGGACGACACAAACGTTTATCCTGTTAAAGTTATAATTATTTTTCCTGCTGGAGGGGGAATAAAATGTCAAGTCAGCCGATGTTTCAATTACAGAATTAATTTTGAAGCTTTCTGAGTGTGTGTTCAGGCATGCAAGGTCAGAGAACAACGTATCACAATATCTCACCCACTGTGCTGAAAAGCAGACAAAGCATTTAGCATCTCAGCAGCGCTTCACATCTCATGTAGCACATGACTTCACAGGCTCTTACACGACTCCGTATGGATCTTAGTTCACAGCTTGGTTCATTCTTATTTAAATATAGAACATACTTTATAAAGAATCATCACCTTATGGGACTTAATGGGCTTCGTGATGATCATCCTTAAGATATAAGACGAGATATAAGATCTCTTCTTCAAGAGAGCCCTGACCAAGACAGCAAAAAGTTTCAGACAGAACAAAGGACTGAAAAAAAAAACGTATAAGATCATTCAACAAGTCAGAAGCGTTTAGCAGAGAAACATGTGCATACGTGGTCAAATGATTACTTCTCCATGTTTTAAAATCATCCAAGAACTAAATGTTCTAGATTAAGCTGAGGCTGCAACTCAGACCAAGATGATGGAGCAAACACACTAACAGCACCTTCACCGAAGGATTGACATCATACATGATGAGTCCATCAGGTCAAAGGCTACAGCTGCTGAGAGCTGTCAGACTGGAAGGCTGTATAGATCAACTGAATGGTGTGTTTCTGTTTCAGGGATCGCAGTGGACAGAAACGGTCTGATCTATTTCGTGGACGGGACGATGATCAGGAAGGTGGATCGTAACGGAATCATCTCCACCATGCTCGGCAGCAACGACTTAACCTCTGCAAGACCACTGACGTGCGATACCAGCATGCACATACGTCAGGTAACATGCTAGGAGAAGCTAAACACGCTACATACATGTAGATCCACCCTGACTGTCATCGTTTGTCAAGCTTTCCATTAACAATGTCAAAGTGAATGTTTTCAGTCAACATACAAAGACAATTTGTTTGACTTGTTTTCTCTTGAGTTATTTTAGAACATTTTTTCCCTAAATGTGTTCATTTATATCTGTCGATATTTAGCTTTAAATTCTGAAAAGGATTTATTTGTGGTATGCTCATACTAGCAGCATGGGATCAGGGGCTATACATTTCAGTTTGTCTGATCTGAAATATTTCTGTCCATCTCAGGGTAGATTTTAAACTTTTCTTTTTCCTCTAATGCCCTCTCAGTGATCTGCTGTTGTAACATAAAGTAGCACTTAAAGGTCAGTTGGTCAAGTCTAACCGGCCATTAAAAATTTCTCTCCAGTGCTCACTCTTCCTGTTTTTCTCTTTTCTCTCAAGTTTTGCCTGCGAATTTCAGGCCCTGAGCACAAATTCTGTCAAATCAGAGGTCCCTTAAACTGAATCAGTTTGCAGAGTTTTTGTAAAAAAAAAAAAAGAAATCCATATTTAAATCAATATTATCCAACGGGAACAAAACAGTAGTTCACCAAGATGTCAGGTTGCTGAACTCTCTCTGAACCATCTCATCGACCCACAAAGTCCGGTCACAAACACACCGAAAAACAATCACAGCATGAACTCTGTCAGGAGTAATACTTTGAACAGGACTGCTGGAACATGGATGTGACCATTGTCTTCCTTTTTAATAGTATTTTGTTTGATATGTCTGTTTGTTGTTATTTAGTTGTTCTGTTATACTGAGGTCTGTCAACATTTCTATCATCTGTATGTCTCCTACACATGGCAGAATTAATACTGAAGAGAATTATTTAATAATCAAATATGAACCGGTACAGAATCAGATTGGCATGTGAGTGAACGTCTCCCCTCCTCCTCTTCCTCCTCTCTGCATGCAGGTCCGTTTGGAGTGGCCCACAGACCTCGCCATCAACCCCATGGACAACTCCATCTACGTTCTGGACAACAACGTAGTGCTGCAGATCACTGAAAACAGACAGGTATCACCCTTTAACATACTCTTTGTTTGTGATATTACTATATACAGTGTTGCAAGTCTGCACACAGGGGTATGAAGCAATTGTCTTGCACATAGGTGCGTTAACAGCGCATCTTCATTCATCATGCTACACACACACAGCACACAGCAGCACTCCTACTCCTCTGTGAAATATATAGAGTGTAAATGATACTGAGATACTACAAACTGAGTTTTTAAGGTGCAGGGGGCTGAGAGATGACAAGCTTTTTCATCCTTCCTATGTTTGTAAATTTTGTTGGCATGAGGCTGCACTGGTTACATTAGAAAACAAGGACCTGCTGCCTCTCGATATGCCAGTCTGAGTCTTTTTAAGAATAAAGTTTTAAAACTGTTGTTAATAGCAAGGTGTATAGGCACACCTGTCTCTTAGAGCAAATGAGAGCTGACACTCGGATTAGTTGGATTCACTTTGTGCCCAAAACAAACCTATGTATGTTCAAGCCACGTAATCCAACCTCTTATGTCCCGCGCCTCGCCTATAGCCTAGATTGTGCGCCGCTTTTCTTGCTGAATGTAGTCGATGGGCCCACAGTGTTTTATCATCCATCCTTGTGTGTGTGTTCAGGTGCGTATCGTGGCAGGGCGTCCCATGCACTGTCAGGTCCCTGGTATCGAGTACACGATGGGGAAGAGAGCCGTGCAGACCATGTTAGAGGGAGCTACAGCCATCGCTCTGTCCTACAGCGGCGTCCTCTACATCGCAGAGACGGACGAGAAGAAGCTGCATCGCATTCGACAGGTAGACGTTTTTTTATTCAACATTTATGTACCACAGTTTCCGATATTTGTGTTGAACATTTTCCCCTCGTTCTGAGCTGACAGTTCACTAAGATAAGACTAAGTAATAATTCCACATCAGATTCAAGTAAACACAAGGACCCGAGACACAGACGCACAATTTAAATGATTCAACTGAAAGCTTTTAGTGTCTTTTTCTTTTACTGCGAAGAAGAAAGCAGGTTTCTGATTTTCACTTCGGAAATATGTCTGTTTCAGGTTTCTACTGATGGAGAAATAACACATCTAGCTGGAGCGCCCTCTGAATGTGACTGCAAGGTACGACACCGCAGCTGTCTTTATCAGTCCTCCCTGTGCTTCTTCAGTATCTTAATTCATCTGATCATTTATGTTATTGTCAATGTGTTATTATTGAGTCCATTAGCTCGCAAACTACACCATTCAAAACTCTGACTTTATGCTGAGCGAATGTGGGATCATCTTTTGGGTAGCGGGCTAACATGATTTGAATTTCAGCCGTCTCCCGCTTGTTTTGATTTCTGTTTCGGAGTGAGAATGGGAGAAACAAAGTTGTATCAAACTGAGAAGCTGTAGAGCAAAGAATAGTAAGCGAATGCCAAGTTACCAACTTGAGCAAAGGTTGTTTAGCAAGTAGCATCCATACTTCACACTAACTACGATAGTGTAGAGGGTGATCATTTTGGCAAGCAAAAAACAGGCTTGTTAACACAACAGCCAAAAGCCAGTTCTTTAAGAAAACCAATTTTTAAGTCAAGTGCAGCAATTTGTCAATCACAGGTAGCTCCGCCCTAACTCCTCCCATCCTTCTGGTCTCTGACTCTAAATGGGACCTTCAGTTACTAAATGAAACTACAGATTGGGATTATAAACTCAATTGGGAAAATGTTTACTGAGGGAATAATCAAGGGACTAGTAGAAAAAGTGAGCCAATGAAGTCGCCCCCTACTGGCCTTTTGAAAGAATGCACGTTTAAGACACTTCTACATTAGCTCTACTTTCAAACCCAGAGGCTCTGTCCACATTTTATGATCTATTCTCTAAAATAACAAAGCTTTACTGACCAAACGAAACGAAGGTGTTGTTCTCCTCCTCTCACTTCTTCTTCTGTCCTGCAGAATGATGCTAACTGTGACTGCTACCAAACCGGAGACGGCTACGCTAAAGACGCGCGGCTCAACTGTCCGTCCTCTCTGGTCGTGTCCCCTGACGGGACTCTGTACGTCGCAGATCTTGGAAACATCCGGATACGAGCCATACGACGCAACATGCCGCCTACTGGTGTGTATATACTGCACACACACACACACACACACACACACACGCACTGATTTGTTTCCCTCTTTTTTCTGTGTTTAGAAAGCAAAAATATGACATAAAACACAAGCTGTGTTGTTCCTTACCCTGCGTTTCAGTTACTTATTCACAAAGTTTACAGAAGTAAAATTCCTTGTGTGTTTAAGCATACCTGGCCAATAAAGCTGATTCTGATTCTGAACTCACACCAACTCATATTTAGAAGACAAAGAACGCTGACTGCGTCTCTGTAACAAAACTCACTCTTCACTTTTTACTCTGACATATTTACCTGGCTGTGGCTCAGTGGTCTGATGTGTCCTTGGGCAAGGCACTTAACCCCAGGTTGCATGTTCTTTTGTATCCAGGGGAACAGATAATAATAACAAAGTGGACAGTGATCAAACACAATTTTGAGTATCATTTTCTGTATTTGTATGGAAATTCATGAGCTGGGGAGAGACTTTTTGAGCTTAATAAAAAGAAGGAGGGAAATCATAATACAGATAAAATAAGAAATTAAACTTAAATAAGTCTCTGTGTATGTTTCTTCAGGCTCTCTGGCTTCTGGTCCCAGCTCGTATGAAGTCGCCTCTCCAGCCTCTCAGGAGCTCTACGTGTTCGATCTGAACGGGACTCATCAGTTCACCATGTCGCTGGTCACTGGAGACTACAAATACAACTTCAGCTACAGGTACGTGTGTGTGTGCGTGCGTTTCATAATAAAAACCTCATCTCTGGACTCTTTGTTTTCCTTCTTGTCAAAACAAAGCTAATTTTCACTTTGTCATTTTTCCTCCCACCCTCCATCATTCTCAGCAACGAGGAGGACGTTACCGCGGTGACAGACAGCAGCGGGAACACCCTCCGCATCCGTAGGGACACAAATAGGATGCCTGTGCGTGTGGTCGCCCCTGACAACCAGGTGAGACTAGTCTGTCGCCATCCATCAGAACTTCACCTGACGGAATAAACCTTCATCCTTTTGTCTTCACACCACGACACATTTTTAAATACATATTCTATAAGATGAGATGTAAGTAGGTCATAAAGAATAGAATATAATATAAATAATATAAAACATTACATTATAATAAAATAACAAATTAATTGAAACCATCCATTGATGATCTTTTCCCGTTTGGGGTTGGGAAGGCTGGAGCCTATCCCAGCTGTCTTTGGGCGTGAGGCGGGGTTCACCCTGGACTGTTCACCGGTCAATCACAGGGCAGACATATAGAGACAGACAACCAGGCACACACACATTCACACCTACAGACAATTCAGAGTCACCAACTAACCTAACGGGCATGTCTCTGGACTGTGGGAGGAAGCCGGAGTACCCAGAGAATCCACGCATGCATGGGGGGAACAGGCAAACTCTACAGAGAAGGGGATTCGAACCCAGGAACCATCTCTCTGTGAGCCAACACAGCTAACCACTGAGTCACCGTGCAGCATAGAAGTGAATCAAAATCATAAAAATAAAAACTTTACAAATGAGACAGAAATAAGAAAAACTGAAATATGAAAAATGGATAGATAAACTATTTATATTTAAAAAGATGAATTAATTAATACAAAATTAAATGGCTAAAATTTAATAAAAAATACAGAAATAAATACAATTATACAAACTTATTAATTAATTAAATAACAGTACAAAGTAAATTAAGAAAACTAACAAAATTCATTTCGAAAAAAAAAGGAAAATTATACATTTTTAACTTATTTACAATGTTATTTTTTATTCAGCTTGCTAATAAAGCAGTGATTGTTTTTCCACTTTAATTTAAACTTCAGTCCTTTTAAAAAAAAGAAAATTTTCCAAATGATGCTCATATTTGTTGTTAGTTCTTTCTGTGTAACACCGCCGTGTGTGTGTGTCTTTAGGTCATATGGCTGACCATTGGGACAAACGGAGGTCTGAAGACTCTAACTGCTCAGGGTCAGGAGCTGGTCTTGTTTAGTTACCACGGCAACAGCGGCTTGCTGGCCACCAAGAGCATCCAGATCGGCTGGACCACGTTCTACGAGTGAGCAGGACAACACATGACATGTGCTCTGTGTGTGTGTGTGTGTGTGTGTGTGCGTGTGTGTGTGCATGCGTGCGTGCGTGCGTGCGTGTGTATGTGTGTGTGTGTATGTGGTTGTGTGTGTGCGTGTGTATGTGTGTGTGTGTGTGTGTGTGTGTGTGTGTGTGTGTGTGTGTGTGTGTGTGTGTGTGTGTGTGTGTGCGTGCGTGCGTATGTGTGTGTGTGTGTGTGTATGTGGTTGTGTGTGTGTGTGTGTGTGTGTGTGTGTGTGTGTGTGTGTGTGTGTGTGTATGTGGTTGTGTGTGGATGTGTGTGTGTGTGCGCGTGTATGTGGTTGTGTGTGTTATGTAGATTGAGGCACATTATTTTAAGTAATTCTCTTTATAGCACATTTATAGCAGCTAACATCACTGTCTGCCTCCCCGCAGCTACGACAGCGAGGGCCGGCTGACTAACGTGACCTTCCCCACCGGCGTGGTCACCAATCTCCACGGCGACATGTCATCAGGGGCCGTTGCCGTGGACATCGAGACGTCAGGGAGGGATGAGGACGTTTCCATAACAACCAACCTGTCATCAATAGACTCGTTCTACACTCTAGTGCAGGGTAAGGAGTGTGTGAGAGACAGAGGGAGGAGGAGAGAAAATGCAGCCAAAGTACAAAACACTGCACTTCCTCAAGTGTCCACTTAAGGCTTACTTCAAAAACCAGAGAATCCCTATTAGGCCCCATTTTATGATCCATTATTTATTCAGTCTGTGATATCATACTGGGAGATATGATCACTGGAACAAAAGATGTCTACCCACACTTTAACATTAATGTCATTTTTTATTGAAAACAAAGAAGAACTGGCCTGTGCAGTCTTTTATCAACAGTGCGTAGAAAATGTTTTATATTCTGTGTTACGAATAAAATGTATCAAAAAAAAATCTGAATTTCATCAAACATGCGGACGGAGGTCATACGCACATCTTTATAATCAGTGTTGATAAATCCAACTTGTTCTTAACCAGCATGCTCGTGAACTTGCATTCAGAAACGCCTCCAACCAATCATGTGGTCACAACACATCCCTTTAAAGACCACATTAATATTACTATGGCAAAGAGAGCAATAAAAAGTGCTTCATAGAAATGGAAGTAGCATGAGGTTGAATCGAAAACTGTATTTTTTTAAAAAAGGGAAAAAAAGTCTCACACCAAGTGAAGCGAATACATGATTTGTTTTTTCACTCAGTGGGCGAGTTGCAACAGAAAGTATGGAGGAAGTATTGAGGAAACATGACCCTGGTAAACCTTTCTTCACACATACTCACGGAGGACTTGAAATGATGCGACACAAAGAAAGGTCATGCTGGCTAAGACTTACGTCTCGTTGAATTTTTGTACATTTCAAAATGTTTTTTTCATAAAGTGGCAAACTAAGATATAATCTTTAACGTTCTGCTTCGATTTCTGTTGTGTTCCTGTGAGTTATTTTAAATGAGTTAATCGCTGCAGCAGCCTGAGGACAGAAACAAGTTGTAAAGTTTAAAAGTTCTTTATGTCCTTTTAAATCCGACCTGAGAGGACGTACTGAGTTATGGATTCATCAAGTTTATTATGAGGTTCGATGCCAGGAACAAAAAATGCTCGTTTCACCGCCGGAGACATTCAGCATCAACACCGAGGGAAAACAATCATTTAGCCCCGCTGCCCTTGTTTAATGTGAACTAATGAGCCGGTTGGAACGCGGCCTCGAGTGGCCAACACTGATTTGTTTCCTAGCGCACTCAGTGTTCCCCGAGCGGAGAGCAAACAGAGCACAGTCTCCCTCACAGCAACGCGGTATTGATTGAAACGTAATAAGTTATTCAAAGCCATCGACAAGTGCAGCATTTCTCTCCATCAATTCATGTACATTATTCAGCGTTTTTTTACGTCCTCGCAATCGCCATCACCAGCCTGCTGCTCCGTTCTGTGACATCATATTATGTGAAAGTTTAGCACAGAAACGGAAAACAAGCAAACTCAACCTCAGCGTTCTGTCGCTCTGATGGTGAGTGCTTCATGTGACCTGGGAAAGGTGTTTGAAACTCTGAGATGAATAATATTTTACAAGAACAGAAACTATAAATATTAACGTCAGTGCGATCATGGGCCGGAGCTTATAAAGTATTTAAAACATTTTCTACTAAATGTCATTTTGTTCAGGAAAACTGATCTGTTAAAGTCAGTCAGGGACCCGCACCTACAGCCAGGCTACGGAGTCCCAGGGAGGCCAAAAACACGTGTTCATTATTATAGAAAATAATACAGCTAATAAATGTGATACACAACTAATACAATAATACAATGGTTAAAGAGTTGTGAAATATTTTGAGTGTAGGACAAAAAGAAGTGAAAAGAAACAAACAAAAAAATATGAAAACACTTGGTAATTTATTTTTACAGCTAATCGTTTTAATTGATAATAATTTATTATTCATTCATTAAAAAAAGTCCATGAATTAAAGATTACATAAATTCTTCATGTAATTTGTTATATTTTAGGTTGTTCCCTTGATGTTTACTTTTACATTTACATTTTTTTTCACTTCCTTTAAACAATGATAATACAGAGTCTATCTGAAATTCCATTTACAAACTCACACTTTTCATTTCTTTATGGACTCCATAAAAATCCACCACTCAATATAAAACCACCAAAGTCAACATAAAACAGTACAGTACAGTAGCAAGTGTTTGCAGATTGGACAAACTTAGAATTTTTCACCTCAAATGATTTATACTTACTACTTTGGCTGACCAATGCTTTATTTTGCCACCTACTGTACATAAAACACATAAAAAACATAAACAAATAAGGTAGCTTTTACAGGGAATAAAACATTTGTGAAAAGACGTTTTGAAAAGAAAAGGATTTGTGGTCCGTATAAAAAAAGGTAAAGATTAATTAAATATTCTTCATGATGCATTTCAGTGAAAACATGTTATAAAAGATGAAAAGCAATTACATAAAACACCATGAGTCTGTTAAATAACAACTGCCACCAGTGAACTAATTTAATTTGAATTACCCTCCCTCCCTCTCTCCCTCCCTCTCTCTCTCTCTCTCTCTCTCTCTCTCTCTCTCTCTCTCTCTCTCTCGCTCTCTCTCTCTCTCTCTTACACTCACACACGACCATCAGTCTGCAAGAGGTCGAGGGGAACCTCATTAAAAGAGGCTGGGGGACGTTAATACCTGCTCCGTGCTCCATTAGCAGCTTCAAACAGCGAACAGAAAAATTAATTGTTCTGTTTTCTCTCCTAACAGTCATCCCTTCACCTCCCCACTCTCACCCTTCCTCTCCCCCCCCTCTTTGTCGTTTTCTCTCCTTTAACCTCGGGTCAGTTACACAGTTTCTTGACATTTGCACCACAGGAGAAAAGTGAATTAAAGTCGTGGTTAAATGTTGATAATCGTCTCTCTGTTTCCCTCACACAGACCAGCTGCGTAACAGCTACCAGGTGGGGAACGACCACTCGCTGAGGGTCATCTACGCCAACGGGATGGACTCGCACTACCAGACCGAGCCTCATATACTCGCAGGTGAACACTGTGGAGCATATTACCCTGACTGCATACTGTAAACCATGACGGATCAAAGGAGTTCTGCTATTCTTAAATTGTCTTTATTTGTGCTGTGCAGTAAGTGTGAAGCGTCAGATATCTGCATCGTGGCAATCTTGTTCAAATCTTTATTTACCTTTTTGTTTTTTGCTGCTTGTTAAAAACAACAGATGCGTTTAACACTTCAATATGTCACACTGTTTCTACTTCCTAGTTTGCATTCATCGCGGCACAAATCAAATCAGTAAAATACATAAAAATGAGCACACAGAGAGTTGAAGTGTGCTGTATAAACTACAGGTGATCCATCATAATAAAGAGCCCTGCTTGTTTTTATGTCCGCGTTTTGTCATCCTTGCACAGTGATGTAGTGCCGACGGTTCAGGTTTACATGCAGCTGAATAATAAAAGTTTCTAACAGTAAATACAGGAGGGATGTTCACACTCACAGTGATGGATGATCAGCTAAAGCAGGTGTCGAGTCTCTGCAGAGTTTAATATGATGGCTTAAAGATGCAACACTACAGCATACTGCAGACACTAGATAGTCAAACACTGCTTGAAAAGTTCAAGAGAAGATCACTTCATTTACTGACTTAAAGCATCAAGATGTTAATGTAATGAGCAATCTGCAGGTCACAGGCTAACTTCACAGTTCATTTTGCACATTCAGAAAGAGACTTTCATTGCTTTTGATTTTTATTGGCTTACACATATTTTGTTTTGTATTCCTAGGTGCTGCTAACCCGACTGTAGCCCGACGTAACATGACGCTGCCGGGAGAGAACGGACAGAACCTGGTGGAGTGGAGGTTCAGGAAGGAGCAGACACGAGGAAAAGTCATCGTGTTTGGGAGAAAGCTCAGAGTGAGTTCAAATCAACAACTACTGAGGAAATAATGCTAAAACTTATCAACCAAAAATGAAATCAGGGTGTGACTGACAAGCAGGTTTGGTTTAATAAAAATAGGATTTGGCTCGGTTCAATGAGAGAGACCTTTTTATAATCTTTTTTTTGTTTTATTGGAAATAATGAAACTTTAAATGTGCGGTGAGCTTTGTTTTTGGAAAGAAAAAATATAAAGATCCACAAGCACAATTTTTTAAGGTCACACATTATCCTCCTTTCAACCAGTTTCAATAAGTCTCAGAGCTCTTGTGAAGTGTCTTGTCCACTCTGATCCTGTATTTGATCATGTCTGTAAACCCCTCTATTTCAGCCCTGCTCAGAACAGGCTGTTTCTGTGTCTGTACCTTTAAATGTAAATGAGCTGTGTCTGACCACGCCCCCTCTCTGGAAGATGCTTGGGTGGCTCATTGCTTTCTGGCACCATGCCCTAATGTTTACGGTGAGAAGGCAGACTCAGAGGGCAGAACAAACATCTAGCTGTGGGAGTGTCACCCACCTGGGGGAGGGGTTACTGCCCTTTGTGATGTCATGAAGGGTAAATCTCCAAACGGCCTGTTTGAGATCACATTTTCTGAAAAGTGGAGCAGGCAAAGGACAGAGAGGATGGACTTGTATTGTATTTGTGTATTTTGACCTTTAAATGTTCACTACATTTGTTTTTTTCTTTTTTGATGAAGATGACCGAAGTACAAAGCAAATCCAAATAGTCCAATTATTTCCATATCCATTTTTATAAATCTTTAAATAAGATCTTTACCCGTTTACCTTTTTCAGGCCCATTTTTCCTGTAATGATTTTTTTTAAAGTAGAAATTAGACAAAAACACTCGCTCAGATTTGAGTTTTTACAGTGCAAAAGTGTGAATCAGGCGTCAGGAAGGGACAGAGTCTTATAAGTAAATATCCCTGGAACATGGTAAAAACTTATATACTGTATGTAGCACATAGTGGCTGCAGCTGGCCATTTGACCTTCTTGCAATGAGGCAACAAACCCCACAGTTTGACTCCCATTGTTTAGCCCCCATGTGAGCAGCTCTTGTGGGTTACAGAGCTGAGAGTGATGTGTTGTTGTATCTGTTGTTATTTTTACGAGCCTTTAGGAGAGAACGATTGGGACACTGATGGGTCTGAATATTACATAAGGTGCTCTCTAACTAGCCCTGCATAATCAGAGGGAACTGTGCAGCCTCCTGAGAATCTGATCCACGCAGCGGTGTCACTCTCAGCATGGTTCCATAAACACTAATGAGTGTGACAGCATGTGTGTGTGACTGTTGTACTGCGAGCGAGCAATAATGAGCAGAGAGGTGAGCATGAGCACAACATGTGTGCAGAACCTGACAGCTGCATGTTTGGGACTTAGAGCAATTCTTCTGTCCAGATTCCTGCAGCAGAAACACGTCGACAGTTCAAGTCGGTAATGATGACGCGCTGATTGTGAACACAAGTGAACTTTAATCCAGCTTTTCTACTGAATTTTAATATTCACACTAGCTTTATTTATTCTCTTGATTCCATTTCGGCTTCGGATTGCAAATAAGCTCTCACATCTTATAGAACTTGAACCAGAATGTAAACATTTTAGTATTGGCTGTAAAACCAGACATTTTAATACCGGGTGTGCATGGGACTTCTGGGTCTTTTACTGCCAGCCTCAAGTGGATACTCAGGGAATTGCAAGTTTTTTGCAATTCAGTAATGGTTTCAATTTTCAACATTGGAGATTGCTGCTTGCTTGTATTTGATTTAAACAGAAGTACTATCTGGGACAAGGCCAATAGCCAATCATAGTCTAGGATTTTGGGGCCAATCAGATTTCAGGGGGCCCCGTGCCACACTGTGTCACCCTGCTGGCCACGCCGCTGATTAAAGAAAAGTCATTTAAGACTGTGAACAGTCTCGTACACACAAAATAGAAAAAACAAACCAAGTAACAGGTTACAGACAGAAAAACTCGACATTAACATTAAAGTCAGTGACCACAGCTGCATTTTCACTCCAGATTTGATGATTCCTTCCAAAGAAAAGACGAAACGTCTCTCGACAGTCCTGGCCTCAGCGTTCAGATAAACATAGTCTTAGTTATTTGGATCCAGGTGAACATGATGGGCCCTGCCAACCTGCAGGATGATGAGTTTCCCTGATTTGATGATGCTCTCTTTTGGCTGTTATCCTGATTCTTCTTCATCCAGCTGGCTCAAAGCCATCACCCCCCTCTGCCCTCCTTTACTCACCTCTCTGCATTCAACTAGGGCTAATTTACAAATGAATGAGTGTCTGGATGGAGAGGAGGGAGCGTTGAACGTGTTCCAGCAGGCCTCTCTCTTTAATGAAACACGTCTGATTGTGAGTTTGTCCTCTCGATCACGGAGCTGTGAGGTGAGTGTAGATCTGAACCTGGACGATACGTCTTTGTAAACGAGAGTTTGAACAAACAGAACGTCATTCAGAGCGCCACAAAGACAGTCAGCTGGCCTGTGATGACATCATGTTTTATGGATACAGAATCAGACCTGGGGGTCTTGATCATTCTGTTTGTTGATCCAGGAGGAGAATGTTTTATTAATAATCGTTCTTACTCAGCTGTTTGAGGAGCAAGTATTTCAAAATAATGTAGATCTTTCTGCATCTCCCTCTGTTCCTCTGACCTGACTCCCGTTAAAGTCCGTGATGGTTCAGTGCTCACGCTTTGGGGTGGAGATTGAGACACTGTGATCATACGACCAGGAAGATAAACGACGCTGTGAACTCTGGATTATTTTCTTTTTAATGATAACCTTTGCTCTACTGCTATCGTTGATTAAACGTTTTTCTGATTATTCATTGACAAACTGACTTTTGTATGTCTGTCTCTCCTTCAGGTGAACGGCAGGAATCTTCTCTCTGTGGATTACGATCGCTCGCTGCGAACAGAGAAAATTTATGACGACCACAGGAAGTTCCTGCTGAAGATCATCTATGACACGCAGGGCCACCCGACACTCTGGGTCCCCAGCAGCAAACTGCTGTCAGTCAACCTCACCTACTCCAGGTGAGCCTGACTTTATTTTTATTTAGGGGGGGGGAGGGTTCAGCTGTCTGTCAGCTGGGAACAATAAAAAGCCAAAAATGATATATTTTTAAGTTTTCAAAAATCTGTTTTTTTGGCAGATGGCTGTTTATCAGTGAGTCTGTTTCTGTTCGAGGTTTCAGATTTGATTACTTATGGTGGTTCACAGGGTCCGTCTAGACCTGATCTTTATAAAGTTACTCAAGATTACTTTGGTTTGGCGCCAGATAACCAAAAGTTGACTGATTGATTGACTTTATTTTTACTGCTCCAGAAATCTCTGAGGGTAACAACCATTTACAATTTCAAGTCAATTAGAAAAAGGCATTAAATTTTCCAATCAGTGTTAGATAAAATAAAAACATCCCACACACCTTACAATAAGTTGACATTATATCTAAATATAGAATATTTTCTTTAAGTAATTAAATGGTTTAATAAAACTTATTGGAAGACCTATTTTAAGGTGGTGTTGACGCTTAAAGGGTTCTTTTGAAAGAAAATAAAACCTATAAAAATCTGTAACATCAAGATCAAGCCGAGAACAAAGTCATATTTTAGAAATATTTACCACTTTTCACTTATAAGCTGCGATCATTAAAAGTCAAAGACGTAAGTCATTAATCCTTTCTTTGATTAGTGTCACACTGAGTAACTTAAGTGCACATTGGGAGAACTGAAACTTTTAATTACAATGAAGATAGCCCTTGGATTTGCCCTTTGAGGTCCAGAGAAAAAAACAGGAAATCTGCTGACGACTACAAGTTCAAAAGCTCAGTCCATCACGGAGAAAAAACATTTTAAACAAAAATGTGATGTTGCACAGTCATACACCTTTACGTCAGAGTGGGCCATTTAAGATTCATAAAATTAAAGGAAAATCAGACATTCATACGTTTTATTCCTCAGTTCATAATTTGTGTAGACACTTATACATTATATGACAGAAAATAGTAAACTTGCAGTATTTCAAGATATATAAAAACAAAGATATTTCTTTTGATCACATAGTTTAAATATTTGTAAAATGGTAACTCAAATGCAAATTTAAAAAAAAAATCATATTTATCCACCTTATTCCTGCTCTAATGCTCGTCCTTTCCTGCAGCACAGGTCACAAAAGGAAAGTCCTAAACGATCTTTTTAGAGTTGTGCATCACGTCAGGACTTCTTTGTACACTTTTCATCACATGTTAAGACTGAACACTCCCTGACTTGTAGATTGTAGGATTTCTTTGTTGTCCAGAACCAAATGTCTGACCTAACCAATCAAATAAATAAATCCTGAGACGTGCTGTAGTTTCTGTTTTTCCCTTGCAGCTGACATGACAAAAAACGAAATCCATACAGCTACATTATCACCAATTTAACAGACGGTATGACAAACAAAAACAATCTTCAAAAGGTACAAACATTTATTCTCATTCTCATACAATCAAACATACACGCATGATGCTATTGACACCTAGTGGTTACATTAGGAACTACATTTTAATACAGGGAGGAGACCACATTACAGTTCTGATTCAAAACCAGAAGAAGAACCCCATTTGAGCTTAAACATCTCTAATTGACCAGATGGTGGCGCTATAAAAACTGCTTTAACTCTATTCTTTAAAAGGCAAGAATAGCACACATGATGCATGGACTTAAAATAGACACAAAAACACAACTTGGACCAAAAAAATCCACCATGATGGCGTCTCTTTTTTGTATTAGATCTGATTTTATCTACAGTGAGATATCTTTGCCATTTAGATTTTCACTGGACACATACTCACAATATCTGGAACTTTGTATTCATTCAGTTTTTTTATTGGATAAGGTATGTTGATGAGCATCAGTAGAAAAATACAGGATGTTAACATGCTAGAGTCAACTTGTTTTCTAATGTTCAGGCAAAGTCCATACAATATTATTTAATACAAATACAGACACAAAAACTGGATATATTTTAGCACCATTTCAAGTTATAAAGTCACGTTTCTGGCCATCGTTTGAGTCAGGCACACAATGTGGAATAGGACACTCCTTTGTTATGTTTGTAGGCTTTTTCCAATATTCACTTCCCTTTACTGTTTGGGATTTGGGAAGATAAGTCGAAAAACATGGCCGCCATCAGTAAAAAAATATTCAACCATGTTGGATTTGAGCAGCAGCTCAGTGACAGGAAGCAGCTGATTGTAGATTTAATGTAGGTCAATTTTCTGTAAACCACGAAAGGTTTGAACTGGGAATCGCTGCCTTTGCTCACTATTTCTGTGTATGTTTTACTAGTTTAATGAATAAGTGACTTTAAATCTGCCGCTGATGAAGCGTAAACTACCGAGCTGTAGCAATTATTTAATTATCATTGTGAGAGCACCGGTCAAAAGCAAAATTATAAATACTTCACAACGGCAGAAAACTGAAACAAACAGTGAATAAAAGGATCCAGTTTTTAAGGAATAGAGATACTAATCGATTGTGTGGGAAATAAGAAAATAGAAAAATTTATTCTCAAAGAAATAGTAAAGAAAAAACAAATAATGAAACACAAAAATCATCCAAGGGTCTCTGATAAGATGGTCTTAAGAGGGAACTTCAGCCCTGAAATCACCTTCTATAATGTGTGTGTGTGTGTGTGTGTGTGTGTGTGTGTGTGTGTGTGTGTGTGTGTGTGTGTGTGTGTGTGTGTGTGTGTGTGTGTGTGTGTGTGTGTGTGTGTGTGTGTGTGTGTGTGTGTGTGTGTGTAGTACGGGGCAGGTGACCGGACTGCAGAGGGGTCCGACCACAGAGCGCTGGGAGTACGACAGTCAGGGACGAATCATCTCCAGAGTGTTCGCTGATGGAAAGACGTGGAGCTACACCTACCTGGATAAGGTACAACAACACACATCACACACTGCGCAGGAGCACTGAACACACAATATATGTATATATTTATTTTCATTAAAAGGAAAAGAAAAACATCATCTTCATAAACTAAACCCATAAATAATACAATTAAGCCTAGTTTGTATGTAAGTCACAAATTACAACAGAGTTTATCCTCTTCTAACATTTTAGTTATTTCTCCAGCTGCAACAGTTCCAGTGTAGGCAGAAGTTACACCTTCAATCTTAAACCATCTGTTTTGATTTTATAAACGATACGTGGTATCCATAGTTAGGAGTGTAGCTGACATGATTGACAGGTGGGTGTGATGTTACGCTTGTCAAGAGGCTTAAAACCTGCCTCAGCTCCGGCTCTCAGCCTGTCGTTAGGTTGAATGAAAGTTAGGCTGAGGCAGGATTTCCAGCATGGCGGCTGCTGCCGATGAGCCTCCGGAGCCCCCTGATGTAAGAGATGGATGATGTCACTCAGGCTTCATACTATTGCAGGCTATGGTCTAAACGAGCTACAGAAAGTAAAATGGAAACAGTGTGAAACAGTGTCAGGGTGAAAAGGTCGCGTCACGCTGCATCACTCTTGTCAGGACTGGAATCAAGCTGATTTGTTGCTGACGCTCGCTTGTGTTGCATGCTGATAGGAAGTTGATGACATACAAACAAAAACTTGATTTTATCAAATTCAATCCAAAAGGTTGTATGTTCACAAAAGATTTAAAATAATTCTGCTTCAGCGTCCCGCTCCCTAGCGTTCAGATATCAGGGCAATACTTGAAAAAGTAATTAAGCAATAACACACTTTTTAAAAATACAAGAAATCAACATCAAAACAAAACACTCTCCTTCTTAAGAAGACATAAACGCTGCACGACTCACATAAATTAAAAGATAAATGACACACTGAAGACAACAAGCACACACACTTTTTTTCCTCTCACAAAGAAAGTTTTTAATAAATTCTGGTCAGAAAGAGTCAGCTGCACTAATTGAAGATTTTTTTCCCCCTGGTGTGAAATATTCTTCACAAAGTGAGAGAGAAAAACAAGCCGCCACAAAGAGTGTTCCTACCAACAGACAGCTCACCTCCTCTAGAGAGGGAGAGACGGCTCACCTCCCCGAGAGAGGGAGGAGCGGGGGAGAAACAGCTTTTAATAGTTTAAAATGAAATAACACAGCTCCCCTCATCGAATCACGGGGAAACAAGAGAAGACAAGAAAACAAAAGATGAGGAACAGAGAAATAAAAATAAATACTTCACATTTTCTCCTGCAGAGTATGGGTCAGGTCGTAATACACGTAGCTTGGATGCTAATTAGGCATTTACTCTTTTCACTGCATTTCATTGCAAGTGGGATTTACAGGTCTTTAACACAGAAGAAAAGACAGTTAGTTCTCGGTGTGCTTTCAAATCAGGAGGCTTTCTTTTCGTGGAGTTAAAAAAGATTAATGACAATACAGAAGTTCTTCAAGTGTCCACTAGAGGCTGTCCCCTAAAGTGAGTCAATCCTCGTAGCGCCCCATGTTAGCATAAATAAATCATCTTCAGAATACCCCTGTAGTTCCTTTAGTCTGATAAATAAACTCCAGTTAGCTACCAACATCATTGTCTCTGGAAAAGTATATGAGGATATACAAAAAGAGGACATTTGTGTCACACAGTAAAGACGTCCTTTCCGTCACTGTTATCCAAAGTGCTCCCTGAAGGGTAAAAAGAGAGACTTTTCTTTACAATGGATGACTGGTTTTGATTTGTAGGGAGAGGAGAGGTGACAAGGAGTCACCTAAAGGAGGACAGAGCAGCAACAACTCTAAAAGAAGACAGAAGAGGATGTATGTAAGGAAAGAGGAAAGAGATGCTTAGAAAGTAGGAACTTTGAAAACAACCCACCTTGTCTCTAAGGAGAGGAGATTCCCTGTAGTAAAAAATAACAAATAGGAGGAGGACAAACAGGAGGAGACAGGAGGGATAAATCAGACTCTTTTTGTGTTTGTTAGCTCGGGAAGACGGAGGAAAAGACAGATGAAGCCCGACACTAAACAGCAGCGAGCCTTGTTTGTGCACGCTGAAAGAAAGGGATGATAGAGAGAGATGGAGGAGGAGAGACAGAGAGCGATATTTAAGAGAGTCTGCAGAGACAGCGGCACTACGAGGAAACAAGACCCAGGGGACGTTAGCTGAAGCATGTTAGACAGAGAGAGGAGACACGGAGAGAAATAACGACACTAAGAGAAAGGATGATAGCGAGGGACACAGAGATGAGACATACTGTAAGACGTAACGAGAGAATACAATGAAGTGCATAAATGATTGCTCAGAAGACTAAATGTGTGGAAGCCTTATGAGGACATGTATCGGTGCATGTATTTACACCATTTTGCTCTGATAAGGATTCCTAAATGCTACAGCTTCAATGCCAGACTTCAAGACGTTTGGAAGAGATTCATAAAAAGTAGCTGAATCTAAACACAAGTACGGAGTCAAAAAGGAATGCACACTTTATGTAATTGTAAAGAGGTTTCCAAGTTCAAGAAAGACTTTTTTTTTTTGTGACACTATCAAAAATAGTTAAGTGCAAACAAGAGAAAAGAAGCTGAGGAAGGTGAAAAAAAGAGGAAGGAGGCCACGAAACAAAATAAAAAACAGACAAAGTGAAGAATAGACAAACACAAAGAAGAGTTTATTTTATTCTCTCACTTTGAATAAATGAGCAACACTCCATTACTCCACATGTCACTCTGTGCACAGTCTCACCTTCTCCTCTACTTGTTTTTCATTCACGTCCGGTCTCCATCTGTCACGTTTACTGAAAACACTCACAGGAAGACGCTTGTGTGAAAAAACAGGATTCATCATGTACAGGGACACATGAGCAACCTCCTAATTGCAGCAGTATGGATGCTTTGTTGTCGTTGTCCTCCTACTCGCTCATTGCTATTGACTGGGACGAGTGCACACATGCGAAGAGTCTTCGTTTTCAGAGGAGCTGAAAATCGCTGTTTCCAAACAATTTCACTCTGGAACCCATTTTCAAAACTTTGCATTTTTAGGCACCCAAACCCCAGTTGTTCTGTAAACAACGGCCAAAAAAACTGCAAAAAGTTACAGTTTACTGGTGAAAATGGTTGTCGTGTAAACAGGGCTTAGGTTAAGGTCGGTGTAGAAACAGATGACATGATGGAGCTCAGGGGGGCTTTAAGCCTCCCAGTAAACGGCTACAACACATCCACCTGTCAGTCAACTCAACCACACTCCTTACTGTGCAAAACTCTTAACCTAATGAAATTAAAATATATATTTTTTTTTTATTCATCCCCTCTACAGTGTGTACCCATAACGTAATTAGCAATTTAGACCAAACCGGTTTCTCCTATCTTGGTATAAACATGTTTATTTCTGCAGTAAAGTTGGACACTTTAATATGGGACCTAATGGGGATTTTTTGGTTTTGGCAGACAGCCTCAAGTGGACATTTGAGGAACTGCAGATTTTGGGGCTTACACACTGCTTTAATTTTTCAGCATTTTTCATACGTCAGAAAATAAAGAAAAAAGATGGTGGGACATATCTCTGTTTTGATATTGATGTTAAATTTCCTGTTTCCTCAAAGTCCATGGTCCTGCTGCTGCACAGTCAGCATCAGTACATCTTCGACTACGACGCGGGCGACCGTCTGTCCGCTGTCACCATGCCCAGCGTGGCTCGCCACACCATGCAGACCATCAGGTCCATCGGATACTACCGGAACATCTACAACCCCCCAGAGAGCAATGCCTCGGTCACTGTGGACTACTCCGAGGAAGGACAGGTTGGCCTTTTTTTTCTCCCACAATGCCTTGCAGGACCAGTGTTATAGTTCTACAGGACGTGTATAATTGTGTATGACAATGGCGTACAAGAGCAACATTAAAGCAACAAAAACAATCAGCGAATAGTTAGAATATTACAAGAAAAGTAGTATTATTGCAAGAATAAAGTAATAAATTCTGGTCTATGGTTTGCTTCTACGTTGTTTTAAAAGTGGAATATCAGAAGATTCAAACAGCCACCAGCTCTAAAATGAGGAACATGGATGACCTTTGACACGAGACAGAAATCACTGAATACATCACCTTTTGATACAACAGCCGGAAGAACAATAAATATCAGGAATCTGAAGGCTTGTTCAAGAAACACATTATTCAGAACAAAGCCCTGCACCGACTTAACTACAGCTTTATTTACCATATTTACTATTCTCATATAATTCCGAATCTATTCCTTTACATTTCAATTTTTTTTCTCACATAAACCTCCAAATTCATACTATGACTTTTTCACAATAATTAACAACGTTATTATATTAAGTAAGGACCTTTTCAAGTAAAATTGCAACTTTTATTTTTGTTCTAATTTGACTTTTGTTCCAATACGATATTCTTGTAATATCACGACTTTGTTATGATGACTTTTTTTTAAATGTGACTTTAGTCATGTTATACAAAATTTTTTATAAAGATGAATTAACACGTATTCTCATTTTATTCTAACTTTTTTCACATTCTCGTTATTTTACTATTCTCGTTATATTAAGATTTTATCATAAAAGGATGAATTTATCCTGGTAATATTACAACTCTGTTCTTGTTTTATTAAGATATAGTTCTCAAAATATTAAAACTCAATTCTCTTTCCAACATTCTTGTGATATTAAGAACTTATTCCTGAAATCTCAGGTTTCCCTAAAACTCTGTCCGACTTTATTTCTCTTTATGAGGTGTCTGTGCACTTATTTATGTCTCACGTCTTGCTTGGTCAGATCTTAAGATCTTATGACGAGTATGGTTTAATCCTGATCACTAACATATTGATCATTCATCATTGTAATGTTATTAATCCAAAATGCTTTTCTCGGCTTTCTCTCTGCAGCTCCTCAGAGTCGCCCATCTTGGTACCGGCCGTGGTATTCTCTACAAATATCGTAGACAGGTATATAAATCTTTTCTTACTCTTTTACCTGGATGTAAAAAACAAATATATTATTAACGTGTAATCTTTTACCTCTTTTATCTCTTATATTTGTCTATTTTTTCAGCAGTGTTCTCACTGGACAAAGAAATGAGTTCAGGACAAATATCATGTTATGAATAATAGTAAACACAAAGGGCTCTGTTTTATTCGTCTCCTCAGAACAAGTTGGCAGAGATCCTTTACGACTCCACACGTGTCAGCTTCACGTACGATGAGACAGCCGGCGTGCTGAAGACCGTCAACCTGCAGAGCGAAGGCTTCATCTGCTCCATCCGTTACCGGCAGATCGGCCCGCTCGTCGACCGTCAGATCTTCCGCTTCAGCGAGGACGGGATGGTGAACGCACGCTTCGACTACACCTATGACAACAGCTTCAGAGTCACCAGCATGCAGGCCGTGATCAACGAGACGCCGCTGCCAATCGACCTGTACCAGTTTGATGACATATCAGGGAAGGTGGAGCAGTTTGGGAAGTTTGGAGTCATCTATTACGACATCAACCAGGTGAGACAGAATGGATTCAAGCCAAAATGTAAGTGTTGAAAAACGCTTTAAAACTGTGAGTGGATACTTAGGTATTGTTTATATATTTTGAAGGAGAGACAATTCCACCGAGCGCCTTACATCCTTAATCTGAACCTGAAAGGAAAAGCAGAAGGTAGAAATCCAAACTGAAAGAGACAGAGAAAAGCATTTTCAGTCTCCTTCCTCTCTACACTTTAATTTCCATAATCTTCAAGTGTTGTAGTTGTGCAGTCGTGAGATACTTGATAAACTCAGACTGAGCTAGTCATTTGAAAAATACAGATGATCGTCTGTGTGTTTTAGTGGCAATGATGCAGGACAAAAAGACGTGCTTCATCTTGTCTGGTCACACTTTCTCTCGTCTCTCTGTTAGAGACTGATCTGTATCTGTAGATAATCTGAATTTATCTTCCATCCTCTCAGATCATCTCCACGGCGGTGATGACCTACACCAAACACTTTGACCAGCATGGCCGCATCAAAGAGATCCAGTACGAGATCTTCAGGTCCCTGATGTACTGGATCACCATTCAGTATGACAACATGGGCCGAGTCACCAAACGGGAGATCAAGATTGGACCGTTCGCCAACACCACCAAATATGGCTATGAGTACGACGTGGATGGACAGCTGCAGACGGTCTCCCTCAACGAGAAGATGATGTGGAGGTAAGATCACACCAATAAACATGGATAAAGCTCCTTTACTTACAGCTGTAAGGTGTTAACTGTTTCTAATCTGGCCGTGCAGGTATAACTACGATCTGAATGGAAACCTGCACCTGCTGAACCCTGGGAACAGCGGGCGGTTAACCCCTCTACGCTACGATCTGCGGGACCGAATCACTCGTCTTGGGGACGTACAGTACAGGCTGGATGAAGACGGCTTCCTGAGACAGAGAGGAGCCGAGATCTTTGAATACAACTCCAAAGGTAGGAACTGTTTTTGTACTCCCTGCGTTTCTGGCCAACGCAGCCAAACAGAGGCCCGGGAAGGCCAGAACACAGAACAGCATAGATCAGCATAGAGATGTAGCAACCTTTACATCACAAGCTGGTGTTAGGAACTCTTTTTTTTCACCTGTTACATAATTTTGCCTTTTGAGCAGGATGTTAACTAAATTGTCTCCCACAGAGTAAGATTCTGTCTGTTCTTCAGCCTCTGTAAGAAACACAAAGGGCGTCACCGTGATAAGCCCTCAAATTTGCGTGTTTTGTATGAAACAGGAAGTGCTTTATAACTGAGCTCCATATCCTTTAATCCAACCCAAACTAAAAATGTATGGTTAGGGTCCTGGTCTTGACACATTTATATGGCAATATTTCATGCAAATGGAAGCAAAGCCTAATGGCGACAGGGAATTTCAAGGTTTACGCTACAGGCTACTGTTTCAAGTAGATCAAACATTTCCTCCCCAAATTTTTTCAGGAAGGCTAAAAGATGTAGATTCAGTATGGTGGAAAATTCTGTGACTTTTCCTCAAAGGGATCTGCCATGGCGGCGAGCAAAAAAAAATTAGCTATAAAGACCAAAAGGATTTTGTACCGGGCTGTTTTTATTTCTGCTGTAAAGTTGGACAAGTAAACATGGGGCTCGATGGGGATTGACTCACCTCAGTGACAGCCTCTAGTGGACACTTGAAGAACTGCATTTTTTGGTACATGGAGGTCAGCTTACTTTTTTCAAATAGGAACTTGAAGAGCTTCTCTGCCTCAGCTCACTGCCTATTTTATTTGGAGCTCAGTATAAAGAGGGACAACAAGCGCAAAAAGTTTATTTTATAGTCACCACCAGACCAGCTGAGACTCCAACAAATCTGGGTTAAATAAAAATGTATGAGTGAATATATATTCTGATTTTCCCTCACATCTTCACATGACCTGGTACATAATTTATCTACGTGTTAGCAAATACAGTTTTTATTCAAAGAAAATGTAACACCTCGGATTAAATATTTCAGTAAGAATGGGGGCCACAAAACTCCCTGATTTTTAGAGTCCATGCTTTTATTTAACTTGTCTTTTCTTTTTTCTCTGTCCTGTGTTCAGGTCTTCTTGTCCGTGTCTACAGTAAAGCGGCCAGCTGGACAATCCAGTACCGTTACGACGGTTTGGGTCGGCGTGTGGCATCTAGAAACAGTCTGGGACAACACCTGCAGTTCTTCTACGCTGACCTGAACTATCCCACGAGAATCACACACGTGTACAACCACTCCAGCTCCGAGATCACCTCCTTCTACTATGATCTGCAGGTACACACATGCAGTATTTGGTAAAGTTAAACCAGGGGTGTAAGTCATATGTGGTTTCTTTTCTGGTTTCACTCTTAGTGTTTGATTTATGATTCTCTGTTAGGAGCAGGTTTCCTCTCTGATGACTTCAGGGGAAACATAGTGAATGCATAGCATCCCAATCAGAGAAGATGGGATTGTTTTCATTGTAGCAGACCCACTTCATCACCAAAACATTTTCATTTTATTTTAAATGCTTCACAGGTTAGAGAACCTGTAACACATTGTTAGCTGGAGGGGTATCTGTTTTATCGTGATGAATATGGATGGTGCATCTGCAGGAGCAAGACCCTAGATTCAAAACGTTTGTTTTCACATCAACAGGATATTTTATACTTGTTTCAATGAGTCACCTTAAAAAACAGAGAAAGACAATAATAGTAGTAATTGTAGCCTGACTCAAAGGAAGTGGACTGTGTATTAGTGTCTTGTTGGCTGCTTTCCTTGGCCTCTTCAGCTATTTGCGTTTTCCTAAATCCCCATTGCTACTTGAGCAACAATAACAACCCTCGGCTAGCATGCAACGTGCTAGCCATAGAAGAGTAGTATGTTTGTGTCAAAGATTTGGATAGCTATTCCATTTTTTCAAATTTTTCCTCACATGCATCTCTTTTTACGCAGAAATGTACAATAGAAATGACCTGCCAGTACCTACAATATATGTGGTGGGATATTATGTGTGGTGTTTAGAAATATGTAGAACGCTAGAATTGGAACATCATTAAGGTTTTATAAAGTCTCTAAAGTACGTAACGCTCCAGCTAGGAGTTTAAACCACAACACAAATCCCACACGATGTCTCACAGGTACACAGGTAACATATTGAAGTATTCAACAAATGTTTAATATGATGAATCCAAATTCTGAAGCTTTAGCATTCTGCTGGATAACACTGAAGGCTTAAACTATTACAGTTATTTATTTATTATAACAGGGTTATGCAACAGAAGATAATGTGTGACTGCTGGGAGGTCGGTTCAGTAGGGTTAATGTTGTGTGTGGAGTTTTCCTTATAGGGTATTAAATCATTTTGCTGTCAGTGTTTGCCCTCACCAAATATCATGCAGGAATATTAAATCCAAAGAATCTGGATAATGTCCAGTCTGTGCAATAACGATGAAATAAAAATCCAATACAGTATTTAATTAAAAGTGGCATCATCATTCATAGCCCTCCTGTCATCACTCTTATAGTTTTAGAAAAACACATGGCATACATTATTATATCATTATTGTTGCATCCAGAGTGTGTGTAACTGTGGTGTGTTGTTGTTATACAGGGTCACGTATTTGCGATGGAGATCAGCAGTGGAGAGGAGTTTTATATTGCATGTGATAACACGGGGACGCCGCTGGCTGTCTTCAGCAACAACGGGCTGCTGCTGAAACAGGTACGTACCATGATATCTACTCAAATATGCGACATACATTTGTTTTGTATCTCCGGATCATGTTTAAAATGTGTGTGTCTGCGTGTAGGTTCAATACACTGCATATGGAGAGGTCTACTTTGATTCAAACCCGGACTTTGTGCTGGTGATTGGTTTCCATGGCGGCCTGTACGATCCTCTGACACGCCTGCTGCACTTTGGAGACCGAGACTACGACATCCCCGCTGGGAGGTGGGTCGTCTGTCACACCTTCTTGTGTTTTTTTTTTTAATCCAAGCATGATGGTGGATGTAACTCCAGCTGTGTGAGTGTCACATCTGACCAGAGTGTGTGTTTGTCCTGAAGGTGGACCACTCCTGACATCAGCACATGGACGCATGTTGGAAAAGACCCCCAGCCCTTCAACCTGTACATGTTCAGAGGAAATAACCCCATCAGCAAGATCCATCAGGTCAAAGAATACGTCACAGGTAACAGGAACAATGACTTTACAGTATAAAAACATAAATGGTAGACAATACTGATGAGGTCTGGATAGGTCACAAGGAACTGAAGTAACTGTTTTCAAGGGTCCTCCCAATCCTGAAACCATTCGCTTTCATCTGACCATGACCATGTCTCCATGTCTCTGGGAACGATGGCCAACTTTTCAGTTATTCCAGCAGCCAAAGACACATTAAGGGTGTTTTCACACCTGGATCATTTGGAGCAGTTGCTCTGAATCAGGGTAGGAGCTGAGATCTCCTACAAGATGTGGTCTTGGCCCACATCAATCAAACCCTCTCTCTTTCTCTCTCACTCACTCTTTTCCACATGTTCCCTCTCTCTCTCTCCGTAGATGTCAACATTTGGTTGGTCACTTTTGGCTTCCATCTCCACAACGCCATCCCAGGATTCCCCATCCCCAAGTTTGACCTGACCCAGCCGTCACTGGAGATGAAGAAGAGCCAGCTGTGGGACGATCTGCCTGTAAGTTTCACATGTACTCTTTAAGATGTGTAGCAACTAAATACCTCATGAGATTATTCTCCTGGTGGACATTTACAAAAAGTCAAGAAAACAATGGAGCAGGGATTAAAGCAGATTTTGTCCACCGCTGTTCCTTAGTGGCTATAGTGGTTTAGGTCATCTGTGCTGATTCAGCCTATATAGCTGGGTTAGCATGAGAAGCTAAAAATTAGAATCAGAAATATTTTATGAATCTCCAGGGAGACATTCGGTCATGACAGGGGATTAACAAAGTATTTCTGATTCTGTAATGTTAGAAATGCATTTTCTTCTTCCTTCTTCAATCCTTTCCTGAAGCTAACAGCAATAAGTGTTCAACTAGGGCGTCGTATTCAGTCAGGAAACGGGAAATGTTTAATATCCACTCAATGTGCTACCTGCTGTTTGGTACTGCAGAGAGCTTTTGGCTGTTCAAAACATTGACATTAGTGAACTTCATTGTGTCTCTTTCACCTGCATCTTAAAAAAAAATCTAAATGCATCTCAAATATCATAAGAGGTTGATGTATTGTTAGTTAGCACAGACAGAAGTGTAGAGGGAGAAAATGAGACATGCTGATGAAAACGTAATCATTGGGAATGAAAGATTTCTTATTTTCAATAAAAATGGAAAAATACATTTAAGACTAAGCAGAGCTGAAATGGAGAAAGTTTCATGAAGCAAAAGACCAATTCAAGAAAGTCCAAATGAAAACCACAAACTGGAAATTGAGAAAGAAACGAAGCAGTCTGAGACGAGAGAGTGAAATGGCGAAGAAACAGAGAAACAAGCTGACGTTCATCGAGGAAAGAGAAGGAGGAAATGGAGGGGAAAGAGGGGACTGTGGGAGGAAATGGAGTGAGAGTAATGAGAGAGGAAATGAGTAGAGAAGAAAATAAAGAGTCATCCAGTGCGACCAGTCATTCACCCCTCCTCAGATTTAAGCAGCGTTCGGTTTTGTAGCTACACTGTGTGGTGGACAGATAATCAGAAAGTCACACCTGAGAGAGAGAGACAGAGAGAGAGAGAGACAGAGAGAGAGACAGAGAGAGAGACAGAGAGAGACAGAGAGAGAGAGACAGAGAGAGAGAGACAGAGAGAGAGAGAGAGACAGAGAGAGAGAGAGACAGAGAGAGAGAGAGAGAGAGAGACAGAGAGAGAGAGACAGACAGAGAGAGAGAGACAGAGAGAGACAGAGAGAGAGACAGAGAGAGAGACACAGAGAGAGACACAGAGAGAGAGACAGAGAGAGAGAGAGAGAGAGACAGAGAGAGAGACACAGAGAGAGACATAGAGAGAGAGAGAGACAGAGAGAGAGAGAGACAGAGACAGAGAGAGAGAGAGAGGTTCAGAGAAAGAAACCAAAGTGAGCATCTCAATATGAAGACAGAAACATGCAACAGGTTCAGACAAATGCAGCAAAATAATGAAGAAAATGAGGGAGATTTGAACTGACTGAGTGTTGTCTGAGGTGTGAATGTTCTGAATTTTTGCGGGTCCTTTTGTTTTGTAGTAATAATTACCTTTTTCAAGTGGAAATCCGAGACTCCAGAAGTATTGGTCGGCTAAGCCAGTGCTAAACTAAGAAAAAGTAATTTCACCAACCTTTATCTTGTAGCAGAGAAAATAGGTACCAGCTCTCTGTGCTTGAGTTTAATAAAACTGACCGTACAAAGCACTGTTCTGCAGCTTTTCCTTTCAGATTTATTTCAAAACCAGGTTGCTGCAACTGTTTCAAATCAACTTTGAGACTTCTTAAGTCCACCCAAAAAAAATCATAACATTTAGGGCTGGTGCTTTTCAGATTTTCCGTTGGACTAATCAGTTTGATTCCCATTGTCCCAAGTTTAATTTCGTTAAACTTTTATTTCCTGTCTTCTTCTTCTTCTCCTTTCTGTTTGCGTTTTGTGAATGTGTACGTTAACACTGCAGTTACAGTCATGAATCGTCACATGAACAAGCAAAGCAACAAAAAAGTACAATGAAAAATATAACGCTAAATAGACAGTGTAGTTCAAATAGTCAAACATCTCTCAGCCCTTAAATAAGCTTGAAATGATTCTGTTTTCTATGACTTTAATTGTTTTATATCAGCTTCTGAGCTTCGCACCTTATGAATGTAGTGCTCTTTAATTTCACCGTCCTTTAATGTAGTTTTCTGGTTATGTTGATATTATTATATCGGGCAGCAGTAGCTCAGTCTGTAGGGACTTGGGTTGGGTGCCGGTGTCCGGTGCGGACCAAATATGGAATTTGGTCTGGTAGCTGGAGAGGTGCCAGATCACTTCCTGAGCACTGCTGAGGTTCCCTTGAGCAAGGCACCAAACCCCCTCCCCACCACCAGCTCAGGAGCACCCGCTGTGGGCCGCTCCGTCACTCTGACATCTCTCCATTAGTGCATGTCCATAGGATCCTGTTTGTGCATGTGTGTATATTTCAGCCTATGTGTGTGTTCATGACTTACAGAGTGTAAAAACAGAATTTCCCCTTGTGTGGATCAATAAAGTAAATCTTCATCTTAATTATGTTACAGACATCTCTTTCAGCAGGCGGTGAAATGATTCATGACTCGCTCTCTCTCTTACACAGTTGATCTCAGGAGTCCAGCAGGAAGTGACTCGTCAGTCTCAGTCCTTCCTGTCCTTTGAGAGGATGCCTGAAATCCAGCTGAGCCGGCGTCACTCGGACCACACCAAACCGTGGCTGTGGTTCGCCACCGTCAAGTCCCTGATCGGTAAGGGTGTGATGCTGGCGGTGATCCAGGGCCGCGTGGTGACCAACGCCCTCAACATCGCCAACGAGGACTGCATCAAAGTGGCCGCAGTCTTAAACAACGCCTTTTACCTCGAGGACCTCCATTATACGGTGGAGGGACGGGACACGCACTACTTCATCAAGACCAGCCTGCCTGAGAATGACCTGAGTGCGCTGCGGCTCACCTCAGGCAGGAAGTCGCTGGAGAACGGAGTGAACGTCACGGTGTCGCAGTCTACGACGGTGATGAATGGGAGAACGCGGCGCTTTGCTGACGTGGAGCTGCAGTATGGCGCTCTGGCGCTCCACGTGCGCTATGGGACGACGCTGGACGAAGAGAAAGCACGAATCTTGGAGCACGCCAGGCAGAGGGCGCTGTCGAACGCCTGGTCCCGGGAGCAGCAGCGGGTCAGAGACGGAGAGGAGGGGGTCCGGCTGTGGACGGAGGGAGAGAAGAGGCAGCTGCTAAGCAGCGGGAAGGTTTTAGGTTACGACGGCTACTACGTCCTGTCCATAGAGCAGTACCCCGAGCTCGCCGACAGCGCCAACAACATGCAGTTCCTACGGCAGAGCGAGATCGGGAGGAGGTAACACGGCATCAGCAAACGTCGAATATCTCCCCCTGTGACTGTCAGAGACTAACAAAGGTTCAGTTTTAACACTAAATGGATGTCACAGACTAAACTGTGCAGAGACACGCCTCCTAAGAGAGCCCAAACAAGTTTTATTCTTCAACACAACCGACCAGAAACTTTACGTAACTTAATGTCCACATGAGCCTGCTCGGAGGTTCAGTCTCTAAACCAATGCCTTCTCTCTCTCTTTCTGTTTCTCTGTCTGTCTCTCTGGTGGCCGGGTCTAAACCCGAGTGCTATAATCGTGTGCTAACTAGCTGTGAAACAGTCAGATGTAGAGATTCGTCCACGTAGCCGACCGAGCATTTCAGCAGCCTGCAAGCATTTAGACAGTTCTGAACTGTCCAACAAGTCAAAAACCAGACGCCTGTGGATCCTGACAGATGTTGCAGGTATCATATCTGTGTGGGTCCAGATGTGAGCTGTCACTTTGGATTATAGACCTCTATGAGTCTAAAGGAGCTTTAATCAGTGGCTCTTTGTATGGGACTGAAGTGGGACTGGTGTGGACTCTCTCTAAGAGAGACAGGCACTAAAAAAAAGGACTTCAATTTGTATGAAGGCAAAAAAAAAAGACTGATTTTTTTGTTTTTGTTTTTTTATATATGAACTTGCATTTGCTTCAACAAAGGGGATTTAAAAAATGAACAAAAAAGTGTTTACATACTATTACCTATACCACTATTACTGCATATTACTCTAACGTCACCTCCACAGGAATGGATCAGGACTGGACTGAACAACACCACAAACTATGAGTTGTGTTTTTCTTTCTTTCTTACTGATGGTCTTTTTGGTCGTTTCTGAAACCTCTCCTCCGAATCCCCCGTGCTCTAATAAGGTCTATAAAATCAAACAGTTTCAAACTACAATGGTTGTATGTGGATGGTTCTGCGTGGGTATACGCTCTGTGGACTGGAGTGGGCTCAAACACTGGTCCGCAGTCCGCCCAGGACTCCTTCACTTCTGCAAAATGTGACTCATATCGCATAGACCTTGTGCTTTTATCGGTCAGAGGTAGTAGTATTGCTTGCAATAGAAACATGTTGTCATGGCTTTGGGGTGGGGGTGGGGGGGTCAGGGTCGCTGTGAGTAGTAACTAATCGTTGCTTCTCTCCTCGTTTTTTGCTTGTTTCTCCTTAAAGGGACAGTGCATCGCCATCAGTGACTTTAATGAGTAACAGTGATTGATCAGAAATCGATGTGGATGTTTTCTCATTGATTGTGGGTCCCTGTACTCTTCTAGATGAGTTTTCTTTGTGTGTATGTGTGTTTACAGGGCGGGACTCGAATCATTTCAGAGGAAAGAACAGGATCTTTACAGAAAGTTAACATCATATGCTACCAATCTTTTTCCAGAGACAAATGAGACGAGTTGACAATGTTTCATGGGTTTATCTTTTATTTTTATTTTGAAGGTTGAGAAATTCCACTTATCCGTACATCAATATTAGTCTCAGAGAAAGTAATTTATGTACAGTGTTTCTACGGTAAAGAATAAAAATCCTTGAAACTATTGTTGCTTTGTGTTGTTGTGTTTTTAATTCCCTCCACTCTCAAAGTCAGACTATAGAAGTTTAGAGTAGTAGGAACATTTTCAATTTGACATATTTTACAACAAATATTAAATGTAGCCTATACATCTTTACAAGTCTTTACATTTCTTTGAAGTGAGGGTTTTTCTGTCTGCATATAGAACTGTCTCGATGTATTACTGATGTTTCTACATGATCTGATCGACGATAAGACGATTTCTTAGGGCGTGGTCACACTGGCAATCCATACCGTGCCATACTGAAGCAAGATTGCCCCATGGCCAAGGAAGTGTACCATGCTCGAGCACAGCACGGAGCGGTCACACTGGTTTAAAAACTGGACTTTAGGGGTGAAGTGTGCTCAGGCATGGTACGGATTGCCAGTGTGACCGCGCCCTTAGTCATTCTTAAAGCTCACAACTGCAGCAACCAGATTGGATAGGAACAAAGCAGTCAACAGCATTTTCTGTATGAAAGACATTTAAATGATTTCACCATTTCTCCTTTGATAAGAAACTACAAAGGTGATGGATATTGTAAATCTGGAGAGAAAGCGAGCTGCTTTTCACGTTACTAAAAATAGTTGATAACCCATTAACGACCATCAGAACACAGCTAATTTTAGTATTTAGACACCTAGCTAACATCTACATTAGGGGCGGCTGTGGCTCAGTTTCCCGTCATTGTCCCAGTAAAACACTTCTGCACACATATGAAAGACTTCATTTCAGAACAGTGATGAATCAAATTTATTCAACTCAGCTTCCTGATTCTAATGATGTTCCTGACGTGAACTCACAGTATAAAGTTTATGGGGAAATCAGACAGGAATTTGAACTTATTCAAATCAGCAGGCAGTGAATGTGATGTAGCAGATGTAGAGCTATATCTCAGTTATAATAAAGACAAGACTCCTGTGTTTCTGTCTGAACTTTAAGAGTATCTTCTCAAAGCTAAAGTAATTGTTCTTAGTTAAGCTGTCCCGCAGCACATGAGTAATACAGATTTTTAATTCTTTATGTGATTTTTGTGTCTCCTTGTCTTGTTCTTATTTGAACTCTGTTGAATCACATTGATTCAGGATGACACTGAGAGCACAGGTCAGGACTCAAGGCTACATCCCGTTGACTCATCATTTCAGTTCCGTCAACAAGGATGTTCTTTCAGTCGGGCTCAGATTCACATTAGATCAGTGATGCTGGGCTTTGCTCCTTCTCTTTCTTGGTTTGCCTGTCTGAATTGAGAACTGCCATCGCCTGAGGGTAGAGAACAAACCATTTAAAACACCAAAGTCATCTAAGAATGCAAAAACACTAACAAATGAAAGACAAAAGAAGATCAAAAATACAGTATGTATGTATGTATGTATGTATGTGTATATGTATGTATATATGTGTGTATGTGTGTATGTATGCATGTATGCACGTATGTATTCATGAATGTATGTATGTGTTTATGAATGTATGAAGGTATGTATGCATGAATGTATGGATGTATATTGGATAGTGTCTATATATGAATGTATTAATGAATAAAGGTAGAATAAATGTATGTTTGTATGAATGTATCTATCAATCAATCAGTCAATCAATCAATCAATCAATCAGTCTATATTTGTAGTCCTATTTAAAAGAAATGTTTTATCATTGACGAAAGTTGAACTTCATCCACGATGATCAGTCCACTATAAACATTAGAAACTATAATGACAATGAAATGGGAAGGACTAATTTTGAAAGTAACAGCAGTTAATGTCAAACAGCTCAAGGATTCACTTTAACATTTATCATCAGGCTTATAGTGTTATGTTTCTAGCAGCATGAGTCAGTCGGGTCCACAGCGGCAGGCTTTCAACACCAACGGCCCAGAGGATGCTTAAAGACAGGGCAGCTCAGGAATTCCAATAAAGATAATGTATATAGTATGTATTGACAGTATATGGATATATATAGGTTCATATAGATTCATACATACATACATGCATGCAGTCATATATGCATTTATGTACAAACATAGTTTACATACATACATGTTTACATTCATACATACATGAATACATTCATACATGAAAACACACATATACATACATATATTAATATATGCATGCATACATACATTACATAAATCTATACAAACATTCATTTATCTAGCCATCCGCCCATACATGTACATGCACAAACATACATAGATACATACATACATATCTTTACATTCACAAGTACATACAGACATTCATACATATATGCATTTATTCAAAAACATAGTTTACATACAAACATTCCTACATACGGTACATACATGTCCTTGAGCACACATCTAATTCACTCACATACATATTTACTCTGTGAAACTCTTTAATACATTCTCTCCAACACACATACAATACATTTGAAGAATATAAATAAAGGCTATGTGAGAAGAGGATTCATGTGTATTAGAAGGCCAGAATAAAATACAGCCTTTACGGCCCCTCATACTCAGCCAAACGAGAGGGTCAGGAAGGAGTTGGATCTTTAAGAAACTAAAAAACTGATGGATAGTTCCCGCAGAGGAAAGAAAGGCTAACCTTTATATTTTTTCGAATATTTCCTTAGCTTGTGTTTTCCATGTGTGTCTGCATTGAGTCTTTACATCCTGAGTACGTTATGTAACTGAGAATAAGATCATGACTTGGTGGTGTCATTTACTTTGTTGATGACTCTAACTTCTTCCTCCTCAGTCTGCCCCTGAGAGTGCCTCATCCCTCCTGCTTTGTTCTTCTCTCCCATGACCCTGCCTAATATAGCATGTGATTCGATTGTCCCCACTCTCTGTGTTTGCGTACTTTCAGCCTCTCGCTTTTTGTTTAGTGGCCAAAATCAAAGTGCAGCCGAGCAGAAGGTGCTTAATGTGTCTCAGCAGACTGTGGTTTTCAACATGAGGTGAAACTCTCGAGCTGGTGGCGGCTCAGTTCATTAGTAATATTTTAACGCCTCATTGCACAAACTGAACATATTATACCAGTGGGGGGGATGCAAGTGTGGATTCTAGATTTCAGGCTCTCTGCACACTTCACACCCCGAGGCACTTCAATACATGCCCACACTTATCTACCCTGTCAGTGAACTCCTGTTCAGCGATCTGTGAAAACATTAAGACACAAACACTCACCACAGCGTGTGTCAATCCAAAATGTTCATCTCTGGGAACAAGAGAACAAACCTCAAAACAATAAAAAAAATAAACTATGTTGTAGTTCTGCAAACATTCCCCAAAATAAAAACACATTTGAAAAGTGCCACAACACAAATTTCCTATGTTCCTGCTGTTATCTCAAACCACCAGCTTCCTAGTTTTACAACAACTTTACTTCACCAGTGTGCCTATTTTTTTATCAATATAAATAAAACAAAACAAAAAATCTGTTCCAACAAAGTTTGTCAAATATATTTGCAACAAAGTCAAATGCATGCCAGGACTTATTGCATTGTCACAAGTCTGTGTTGATTTAGTTATGGTAGCCTACAATAGCAAATGTGCTAAAAATGATTTCCCTTTTGGAAAACAGAATTCCACTTTAGATATTGTACCGTTTCCAAAACATTTACAAACACCCAAACAAATTCAGTAACTTTAAAGTGCTCGATGATGAAAAGTATGCAGAAAAGAACAACAATACAGAAAAACACTTTAAATTCAGTCATCCAACTGAATCCTCACGACCTCTAGGGGGAGCATTAAGTTGAGCAGCTTGATTTCGACCCCAAGAGACCCTGAGTCATGTTAATGTCGCAAAAAAGCAACCAGCAACCTCTGGTGTTGAAAAATGAAGAGAATGCCTTAGTGCAAAATCCTGCAGTTCGTTGAGCCCCAGAAGTCACGTACACACCTTTTCACAGCAGAAAAGGTCAAGTTTACATCCTGGTACAAAAAACAATATAGGTCTGATTAGTTATTGTCCTCATGGGCACACCCTGTACAGAGTTGATTATTTTTATAAATGATACGTGGAGGCGCGGAGCCTATGGCTCATTGCAGAGGGGGCGGGGACCTATAGTGGGCCCTTAAACTGTCTATAGGCTATATAGCATATGTTGTAGCCTATAGTAATATAGTATAGTATTTATGGTATAATATCGGCTGTATGGAGATTCAAGACAGGGCGAGATGAACAGAAATGCCGCTACGGATTACAATGGGTGCTATTACAGTGACAGGAACTTATCATTAAACAGTGAGTGACCTGCTGATATTTAAGCAGCACATGTGCTGATATGTCTGTGCGCATATTTGACAAATTATTTCTATTAAACAAGCAAAGCAGACTTAATTAGCCGGACGGGAAACCAAAGAAGGCAACAACAGTTTGACATTCAGTGAAGTTGGACGCCCATCCTGCCAAACGGACTATATAATAAAACCACACATTTAGCATTCACATTAGTGGAGCTAGCAACGGGAGGAGACTTGCCAGGTTGAGTTCTTGAGGGTTGAGTTGTCAATAAGAAAAAGTTTTTTATTTAGTTTTTTACTCTTTTAATGTTATGAAAAACTGCAAGGTAAACAGAAATAAAGCAGACAGACGACTAGGTTTTTAAAGCTCCAGACAGCAGCGGGGGCCGAGCAAAGGGGGTGCTAAGAGGTGGAATCAATGACATTACAAACAGGCCACAGCACCCTGCTGGTGCTGTTTGCTGCCGAAGTTGAGAACCCCCTTGGCAGTGGAGGGGGGCACCTCTCTGCTCTACAAGATACATTGTGTGTCTTGATTGTGGCAAAAGAAAAGAGAGACTCAGACCTAGTCAAACCAACTTTATTCAAAAATTCAACTAAATAACAAAATGCATGTTAAATTTGGCTCAAAGTGGGCCCCTTGAGACAACAGTGGGCCCGGGGCGGCCGCAGCTTCTGCCCCCACACTCGTTCCACTACTGGATACGTGTTATCCATAGTTAGGCGTGTAGCTGACCTAATGGACAGGTTGGTCCGGCGTAGCGGTTTGT